ACCCTTGTGGCTGACTTTGACGGTGGACTATGGTTGGATGTAACCTTGTGGCTGACTCTGATGGTAGACTAGGTTAGAGGTGACCTTGTGGCTGACTCTGGTGGTGGAGTATGGGACGATGTAATCTTGTGGCTAACTCTGATGGTAGACTAGGGTTAGATGTGACCTTGTGGCTGACTCTGACGGTGGACTATGGTTAGATGTAACCTTGTGGCTGGCTCTGATGGTAGACTATGGTTAAAGGTGACCTTGTGGCTGACTCTGATGGTAGACTAGGTTAGAGGTGACCTTGTGGCTGACTCTGGTGGTGGACTATGGTTAGATGTAATTTTGTGGTTGACTCTGATGGTGGACTATGGTTAGATGATGTAATTTGTGGCTGACTCTGATGGTGGACTATGTCTAGATGTAATCTTGTGGCTGACTCTGGTGGAGTACTATGGTTAGATGTAATTTTGTGGTTGACTCTGATGGTGGACTATGGTTAGATGATGTAATTTGTGGCTGACTCTGATGGGGGACTATGTTTAGATGTAATCTTGTGGCTGACTATGGTGGTGGACTATGGTTAGATGTAATCTTGAGGTTGACTCTGATGGTGGACTATGGTTAGATGTAACATTGTGGCTGACTCTGATGGTGGATTATGGTTAGATGATGTAATTTGTGGCTGACTCTGATGGTGGACTATGGGTAGATGTAACCTTGTGGCTGACTCTGATGGCAGACTATGGTTAGAGGTGACCTTGTGGCTGACTCTGGTGGTGGACTATGGTTAGATGTAACCTTGTGGCTGACTTTGATGGTGGACTATGTGTGACCTTGTGGCTGACTTTGATGGTGGACTATGGTTGGATGTAACCTTGTGGCTGACTCTGATGGTGGACTATGGTTAGATGATGTAATCTTGTCGCTGACTCTGATAGTGGACTATGGTTACAATTGAAGCTGGGATTTATTCCGGCACGGTTCACGTGAAATACTGGTTGAAGAGAAAAGTTTCTGTTGTATCAAACAGAAAGGTGTAACGTTATGAGGGTTTTACAGACACATTCTCCTTATGTTTTATTGCTTCATACGTTTCGTAACATCCACTGCAGGTCGGGGATCGAGAAAAGAATACACCTGTTGTTACCCACTGAATGTATCGACAGAAGCGACAAATGTTGGGAACCCCTGCAGAATTTGGGATTTTCTTTTGTGCCCTCTACTTAGGGACACAAAAACGGCCAAAATAAATCTGCTGTACCTATTGCAACATTTGGGAACTTTTTCTTTCTTTCTACTTCTAATTACCTTTTATTTCCTAGCGCCTTGCTTGGCAATACCTCACTTCTGGCGTTAATGTTGAGCGTTCGCCAAGGTGAGGAAGGCAATGGTTTCTGTCCCCAGGCCGGGACATACCGAAGTCCTTCAAAATGGTAGTTGCTATTCCCTGCTTAACGTTCAGCACAACCGTTGTCAGTATAATGTGACCGGGCGGAATGCTGTGCTTGGTGTCTTCGGCATGGTATTTCAGTGAGATAGCAATATAAAGTCGGCATCAGCTTCGCCTTACCACAAGGAGACAAGCACAACAACATACCCTGTCTCCGGCACACATACACACATGCACGCATGCACAACACACATTGAGGCACGTCTTTAAATGACCTTAGCTGTTAATAGGACGCTAGACAAAATAAAACCAAACCAAACGTTTCGTAACAAATAAGATACGAACGTGCATTCTTTTGATTTTAGAACCACTAAGTAATCATAAATGGAAGAAGTGGTCATATGACTAAAAAGTGTTTGTTTTTTGTGTTTATTTCCTAGTATTTCTGTGATTTTTGAAATTGGTTCCCATTAAATTTAGGTATTTGAAGTATCATCTACACATATTTTTGTTGTATATGTAATGCTTTAAAAAAAGATACGTAATATACGGCTAGTATGGCATTATAAAACAATCTAATTTCGTTTTAATTCACTTCAAAATCCCGTCCAGACAGGTTGTAAGTTAACCGTTGGTATATGGTATATTCTTAAGCTATGGGAGGGGTCTACTTTCGAAATCATGGGTTTTAAGGTTTTACCTTATTCCGATGAGTACAGTCATAACTATTTATTTATTTTTTTGTAAATCGGTTTTTGCCAAATCAAAATAATTACAGCCATCTATATTCGGTCCAAAACTTTTAATTATTCTAACTCTTCTCTTTACAGTATTCATAATAACTTACAGTCTACTCTAATATTCACAAAATTAATGGAGTTATCATCTCATCAGCTGGTTAAAATTGAAAGCCTTTCCTTAAGTCATGTTAACCATTTCACAAATATATTTTTTATTCAATACCCCTAGTAACTTTTTTATTTCGTAGTGATGGGGTTTTACTGCCCCTTTGTTTTAACAGTAGTTTAGACCATTTGGATTTTCAAAATTTTGGGTGGTTGTGTGTGGTACGTTTATCCTTCTTAATGGACGAGATTGCTACATAGTATAGTAAATGTTAACTTTGTTTGAAATTCTGCATCGATCTACTCAATTCTATTCAGGTACTTCCTTACTTAGTACTTATAATATTTTCTAGTGATTATTTTACAGTAGTTTCATACTTGAACAAGCGAGACAACTCTTACCAAGCGTGCATCTGTTCCAGGATATGATCAATGACATTGATTTAATGTAGATTGTCATTACCAACAGAAAAATAGCCCTCATCCTTCGAGTTGAACAAAGCTATTTTTCCCAGTTTCCTGAATGTTTTTAGTTTTACCATTGAGTATCCTGCATGACCTAAATATAAGAAGAACACGTGTGTAAGCACTTGACCGGACACGTACACGTGTCACTGTCCAATGTTTACTCAAATTATAAACATTGTGAAGGCAGTCACGTGATGGACTGAGAATCGAATTAGTTTAGTAATTGGACCTTAATTGAGCCGACTATCGATACGAATTTCTCGTAATCGACCATACAGTGCATAAAACTGAATCTTTTCATTTTAATAACATTTATAGTGTAACACAGCAGCCGTAAACACACGTAACAGTTGATAACAGTAGTGTTTATTTATAGACGTGCATCAACAATCTCATTACAGGTACATGTACAGGTGGTTACAACATCTCATTACAGGTACAGGTACAGGTGGTAACAACATCTCATTACAGGTACATGTACAAGTGGTTATAACATCTCATTACAGGTACATGTACAGGTGGTTATAACATCTCATTACAGGTACATGTACAGGTGGTTACAACATCTCATTACAGGTACATGTACAGGTGGTTACAACATCTCATTACAGGTACATGTACAGGTGGTTACAACATCTCATTACAGGTACATGTACAGGTGGTTATAACATCTCATTACAGGTACATGTACAGGTGGTTACAACATCTCATTACAGGTACATGTACAGGTGGTTATAACATCTCATTACAGGTACATGTACAGGTGGTTATAACATCTCATTACAGGTACATGTACAGGTGGTTACAACATCTCATTACAGGTACATGTACAGGTGGTTACAACATCTCATTACAGGTACATGTACAGGTGGTGATTACATCTCATTACAGGTACATGTACAGGTGGTTATAACATCTCATTACAGGTACATGTACAGGTGGTTACAACATCTCATTACAGGTACATGTACAGGTGGTTATAACATCTCATTACAGGTACATGTACAGGTGGTTGCAACATCTCATTACAGGTACATGTACAGGTGGTTACAACATCTCATCTACGTATGGTAATACTTCACGTTGTGTCTCTGACTTCGAGCTAAGTAACTAGGCCTGTGCCAAACCATGGCCACACTCGATCCCATACTCTGTCTCTCTGAACCTGGGTCCAAATTGACCTGTCCCTTCTCATGGCCAATTCCCGACCCCATGAATATGGGATGCACCCCGTTAAATACGTTTTCCAGTATATATGTTACATTATTGCCTACAGCCATCATCTGTAAACCTGTCATCATTAATACTTGGTACATACCTATGAGACTATAATTCCTCCAAGTATTACATGTACCCTTTAGGCTACTGCTACCCGACACATTACTTCCCACGACTAGTACGCGACTAACAATCTACAGATATAATGAATCTAATTCTAGTCGTGAAAACATTTTGATGAACAAATAAAATTTTATTCAACAATTCAAATGTTAAATGCATTACAGATATTCGTTCTATAAAGAAATATAAAACCAACCGGTTATGCAATCGAAAATACGTATCCTATTCCAAACGACATTCGGTTATACCCCATCACAAAAACTCAATTTATTTACTGCCTGAACCTGACATTGCAATAAACCTGAATGGAAAATTATCAACATTCTTCAGACATATTGGGGTTTTTTTCACTATTATCCAACAAAGTTATATACCAAGATATAATACATCACATGGAATATGCAAAATTGTATGCACAAAAATATTTTCTCTAAAGAAAACGTAAGCTATCTTAAGCGAAAGTCATCAAAGCATATTTTACATGTTTCACTTGATGAGTTTTGAAATATTTCTTCACAGTCCAGATATTTTGTATTATTACACAACCTTGCTAGTTCAAGATAACGTTCTGCGAGCACGTGTACGAACACATGGCAATCCATTCGGCAGAAGCTTATACAATTTTCTTATGGGGACAACCGTGTAATGTCACCGACCTGTGGCATAAACTATAAGCTAGGTCAGCTTGATTTTACTTTCACTAATTCTACCTTATTAAAATACTTTGTTTATGCTGTTATGTTTTATTACACGGTGTGAGGCTTTTTATAATTAAAGCTAAATGAGTGAAGAAGAGTATGATAGGGGGTGTAATTTTTCGATTCTCTTAAATCAAAGGAATGTCATTTTCTTATTCTAGAACGTTAAGCTAACTATGCCTCCAGAGATCGGGTATAGTTTGTTTCATAACAGAATTTTACCAACGGTATATAAAAGCAAGAAAATAGTTCATTTGGGAATCACTTGAAACCTCTTCACCGTTACAGAATCAGCTTTCCCAGGTAAGAATAATGGTAGCTAAGCTAGCTTTGTTACAAAGAAATTGTTTTGTTGTGCTATTTTGAAATGTTATTTCTCTTACTTTTTTATGGATAGCTTAAACTATCTTTATGATATTCATCAAGATCTAATTTTGTTTGTGAATCGCAAAAAAATATTCGGGTAAGCATGTATCTCCAAAGTATTCGAATCAACCTCTTACCTTTCTGTGGTGTTAATCACGACTGCTTACTTTCACAGTGTATTTGATAGAGATGAAGACTATGTTATTCGCCTGCTTCGTGACACTACTGGCGGGGGCTGACGCGGCAGGGTTCCTCGACTTACTATTTGGGGTTCCGACAGATCCTCCTGGACTTCTGAACATGACGAACAAACACTGGTTCTGTCACGATCTCGACTGCCCAGCTTATGAACCTATGATGACTCCACCTGTAAGTAACGATATAATTTGTATATGATAACTTTATACAACGATATTATAAATACGAAGCATCACGATTTTCAGGATATATGTGTGTCCTTTTAATTTGTCTAGGTTTTTCTACATGTGAGACTATCGTCGTTAACTAGAGCTGATTATTATGATCTGTTGTTATTTCATGTATTTTCTTTATGACGGTGCATGTTGTTTTCTGTTTCGTTTTGGTGTCTCTTCAGTTGCTATCGTTTTCTGTTTCTATCGCATTTGAGCTTAGATTTTTGTCTTTTCGCATTAATGATGTGCATTTATTAATTTATCTTTTTATTTATTTATTTTTACGTATGTTCACTACATACTAGTGTACTGTTAAGTATGACTTTACCTTTTACCGGCTGTTGTGATAGTTTATATAAAATTGCACTGTTAGAAATCCTCTCAAATTCCAAATTTCTAGATAAAATCAGATCACTCCCGGGACGTTTCATATTTATTTAAACAATGTAATTATTGTTGATATAATTACAAGTGGCCTCTGGCAAATCCCATAAAACCCCGCTAGGAATTTATGGTAGATTTGCCAGAGGCCACTTGTAATTATATCAACAATAATTACATCCAGACAACCAGGTATTTTTTATATTTACATATTTTTCTTTTTTAAGACATATTCCTACAAAAACCATTTGCCCTGCCTCAAAATACATTTCAGGCGGCCATTTTGTTTGTTTACATATTCCTACGCCTGAAACAGGCAGTTGTAATTATAGTCGAGCAGTTGTAATTATAGCCTATATAATTACACTTGCCCTCTAACACTGTTGTAATGGGACGGCGCGGGGGCAAATGTAAATATAAGGTATCAGAAAGGTCTATTTCATTCATGTATCGTTTCATATTTATAAGGTATCAGAAAGGACTAGTCTATGGAAATCCATTTTACCTTGGGGACAGCCAGGTGTATTTGATACTGCCAACATAAAGATCATTTTCTCTCTTTAAAACACAACATTCGAACACTTTCGGTATTAAATATAATGTAATTTATTATTTTTGAGTGCTAATTGTCTTACCGAACTACAGCTTATACGAAATATTCTATATCGTTTCTATTATTTGAGTTAGTTTGCTATGTATCTCAGCGAGTATGTTATACAGCCCATGTAATTAGACATAACATTTACCCTCCTCTATCTGACCGTCTGCTACCACTAGCCCTCCACCACCACTGGGTCGCGGGTTCGATACCTACGTGGGGCAGGTCGGGGGCTTTTTCTCCGGGAACTCCGGCTGTCCTCCAACACCGAAACCTGGCACGTCCTTAAATGACCATAGCTGTTAATGGGACGTAAAATACAAACAAACAAACAAATACCCTCCTCTATGTTTTATGCAGGGTTACGAGAAAAGGAGATATGAGGATTCTAAGTGGGTGGCTACCAATGTTACAACAAATAACTACGGTTCAAGTCAAAATTCGCAAATGTTTAACAAACTCTTCAAGTACATCTCCGGGGAAAACTCAATGCGTAAGTATCTTAATGTCGTTGACATATTTCTGTTAATTGTCCATTACATGATTAATCCTTATGAAGACTTTGTTTTCAATTTAGGAATTAACAATATTTTTGTTCTTGTTATTTATACCGTATATATCTCACAAATGTTGAGAACACATTTCATCAAGCTTAAGGTTTATCGGAAAACAGTGCAAGCAGGTTTTTTAGGACTAAATCTTGTTTTTTCTTTATTATTTCATTTACAAACAAAACAACAATTTCTATATGCAAAGTTTGTTGTTTTTTACTTATTTTTGACAAAAAAATGCAGCAATTGCTCAGTCATTAATTACTAAATCGTCATTATTCGACCAATCAAAAGTAGCAATTTTAAAAATATCGCTTCAGCTGGAGTTGTTTTTGAGGTTATCACATATGTTCTAATATCCGAGCAATGCTTGAAATAGACAAATTAGTTGTTATTAACAAACATTATGTAAAAAAAAAAAACAATCATAAACTAGCTGTGTTTTTGTCGGAGCAAGAAATGACTTATAATGACAATGATCAGCATGTTTCACTCCAAACTATACATTTATGTTTATATAAGGAACGCTCTCAAATAGCGTGTTGTTTCTCTTTTATATTAGGATGCCATATATTGGTTATTAATTTGCATTTAGTTGTTATTACGTTGCATTAGAATATGTCGTAAATGTAGATAATTTTGAATTTGCGTAAAAGAGTGTAACAATATATTCTTCAGACCAAAAGGTTCCCATGACGGCGCCAGTGTTAAAACACGAAACCCCTGGAGCTACCCCCGGTGCAGCTTCTACACACATCATGTACTTCATGGTACCACATGACATGCGCGTCTCTACCCCAGCGCCAACCGACCCTTCGGTCTACCTCGTCACTCTTCCCTCAATGGTAGTGTATGTCGGGTAAGTAATGATTACTACACTTACATAGAACAAAACGAGGCAACCACGAATGGCGGTTCTATAGAATCAATGGCTTATGGGTAGTACGTTCTAGTAATTATATGAAACTTATACTTTGGTATTGTGAAATATTAGGCCCAATTTTCTGTTACGTTTCTAACCTAAATTTCAAAATATACCTAAGTTAAACGATGTTTTCCCTGTGGGGAAACTTAACACTGAAGAAAAATGTGTAGTTAAATGTTTCCAGAAACCGAATCCTGTGATGTGATTTATTTTGCAATAGTTGATTAATGATGGATATCATTCTGTATATATATATATATATATAATTGTAGCTATTTCAGGAGTGTTGTATCCTTGAAAATCACTTAGGAGTGTATTGTCATCGAAAACTACTTAGAGTTGTTTTTCATTGAAAATCTAAGTTTCAACTAATGACTAAACGATGGATACAACATTCGGCCTTTAAACATTATCAGCTTTAAATCAAACATGATGAAAGTAGCAAGTTTCTGATTTCCCGAGATCAGGTCTAGATAATATCATAAAGGTGAAGCGGAGGGAACAGACATGGTATGGTCAACAATAAATTCCGGGGGGAAAACGGGAATCTAGCAAAATAAGAACTGTTTTATAAAGGGTATATACATGTACATGTAACAGAGCTATACGCTAACTGGACCCTTCCTCAAGTTATACATGGAGTTTTCTTAGTTAATCTTAGTTAAGCATCGCGATATCTACATTGTAGTATATTTTCGTGTTAATTTTAACGATAATGAAGATGTTTATAGCATATTTACATCAAATTCATTTTTCATATAGCTCCTACAGCGGATATGCCAGCCAAAGTAAGGACACAGACGCTCTTAATGCCTTGAGGGCGGAGCTAAAGACCACGTCCTCCAATTCTGGATATACATTCACCGCCGGATATGACAGTCCATTTAACCTCATTCACAGACACAACGAAGTCTGGATTGTCGAATAATTATTGTGTATAGCACCGTTATTTGTATGTTCCAATACACGTGCTTCATACTTGTATATTGTCTCAAAGCCATGATGATCTCAAAAACAATTGTAAATATTGTACAGCGTAAATATTGTAAGTAATATAACATGATGAGTCATTGATGACGTAAGCGCTTTTTTGTAAATAAAAAAAAACTCTCGTATGTCTTTAGTTTAAACTTTATTTTTTATTGATGTTTAATTACAATAGTACATGGTTATAAATACAGAAAAGGATCCAGAAACAAGTACATAGTACTTATGTAAATCCGTCTCCTCCTCGTATGTCTTTGTTCAAGAATTTATCATTTGACAAATTATATTTGGTATATAACCTATATTCCAGATATATGGTGTTCTGTAATGTCCACTTACTCTATCACCAAACAGGTCTATCGTTCTCCTTTAAGCAAAAATTGGTTACAAAATTCTTCAAACCGCTCTTTGAATTTGCGATATCAAATTGCACTTACAATTTTGTGCAACATCAGACATATAGAGGGACCGAAGATATCACCTTGGCGTAATCTCATAAACGTGTTAAGCCATTAGAGTCAACGATTGCAATGTTTGAATACCTATCGGATTATTAAAACGGATAAATATATCTACACATGCCAACCAATCCCATATGAAGTATATTTTGTAACCGGCAAGTCTAGAAACAATTTGGCAGAAGAAAGGAAGAAATGAGAGGAACAACACCAGCAACGCAGCAAATTGTTTGAGAACTTTATTAGCGGAGTCGATGGTTCGGAATTATAATAGGTGTAATATTATGCTTGGACGTGTAATCTCATTTTATATAAAGGATATTGCCGTTACAATATATAATGTGACAGATGACTGCGTTCAGAAAAGCCAAACAAAAAGGTTGCTCTGTTAACATTAAAGCATGTTGTTTACGTAAAATGAAATTACTTTTAATTATTCTTATCACAGGGAAGGTTCAGAACTTCTGTGAAAAACTTAATTATTTCATCATCTTTTACATATTGAAAAATAATATCGAAAATCAGCTAGAATTAATATTGAATAAAATTGTTTAAAACAAACATCTACGCGACGGATTACACACTACAAAAGTAGTACTTTCAACGGTGGGCTCACCGTTGTGTAGGACTATGTACTAACTTGGAATTTATGACAAGTTAATAAGTGTTTGTGAAATTCGAAAAATATGTAAAGCGCTTTATATCTTTCCAATAATGACATGTTGCCCAAATCGCATCATTAAGGATATGATATAGATGTACATATTAACACTTGCAATATCAATGCAAACATTTCACTAGATGTGTTCGTGCTTCTATTATATCCTCTGGATAATCTGCCTGTGACTAACAGGACAGGAACTGGCTGGCCCCTGCTATATAACTCTTCTGAATCCTCCACAGCGACCGAATGCTGTTCCTGCTTCTCGGCGTACACTTCTCTACATCTCCCTCCTCTATGTCAGTACTAGTGTTCCTAGCTCTAACGGACTCACTTGCAAACTATTTGCAGCTCGCTTAAACTAACATGCACTAGGCTCTGTACCCTCTGCTCTTTTTGCAGTCGGGTCTTGATAGTTCATTATTTTTCCCTCCACCTCCCAGGGTACAGTAAACCCGTCATCACCATCTGCTTAGGCTTTTTGGCTACAACTCGATTTCTGATCGCAAGGGTGTCACTGCGACCTCCGACACTGCACTACACCCTAGCCCGAACTTTCTGGTTGTCCATGTGCACACCAAGTCACCATTCAATATACCGTTGCCTTTACAGATTCTTCTCTCCACGTCCTCCCTCTGCGGGCTTTCACCTCTCGAGCTAGCTCCCTCTCATCATCTTTGCTGTGCCTAATGGTTGCCCGCCCGGTCTTTGCATCTGGTACTCCGAAGTGATTATCCCAAACAACGTTGTGTCGGATGAATGGTTATCATCTCAATGTCCCTAGTGGTCCACATTTTCCCTCTACTTACTGCCACTGTTACTGTTTCTTTCCGAAGTTCTTCACTGGTCTATCATCCTAGAGATGGTTTTGCGCTCCATGAAAATCTCACCTCAGGTCATGGAAGCAATCGGGAACCGTCGGCACTTTCCGTAATCGTAAGGAAGTGCCGACGGTTCCCGATTGGTCATTGCAGTAGTCAGTTCTTGTTATTTTACATCTAAGAATTCTTACACTGACAACAGTATAGGGGTTTTACAAAATAAATCATTATTCTTTTAATTGAATTAAAGCTGATATAGTGAAAAGAATACAAATACAATTTACTTTATATGATGCACTGCAGATTTTATTGAAGTATATTTGAAGTCTGTAAACACACAATACATTACACTGCATAACAAAATATACACATACCATGGTACTCAAAAACAGGTAAATTTTCTCTCTCCCTCACACATTCTGTATTCCTCACACCTTCCATTTTGTTTCTCTCTCTTACATCTGATTTCTTTCCATTACATGTATCCTTTTATCTCTATTTTAACTTCATTTTACATCTTTTTATTCTGTTTCACATATAATCTCAAGCATAGTCCTTGTTCCAAAGCTTTTCTTCACCAATTGGTTTGGTTTTATTTTATTTAACATCATATAGACAGCTTAGGTCAACTATTGTACAATTTAAACAAACCTGAGATGCTCACATAGATATTGTTTGCCAGAGGATGTCTTTCTTAATTGTAAACATAATATAAACCCCAGTCCTATTCCAAAGCTGGGACCAATAACAACATTTTCAGATTCATTGTAACCTGGTATTCAAAAGATACCAGAATTCATAATAACACAACCCCAGTGTATTTATACAGTGTTCTACGAAATTGATGTAGATTCAATAAAAATCACACTTCGGCAAAGACTTGACATCAAACACTGAATAAAGAATTTGTTGAGAATGGTAAGCAGATTTTTTAATTAGGCCTCCTCAAGCTCCACCAAAACACCATTACAGTCCTTTGGGTGCAGAAACACAACAGGTTTACCATGTGCTCCTATCTTTGCTTCTGCGCTCAATAGTCTAATGCCTTTTTCCTTCAAGTCTTTCATAGCCTCCGTTATGTTGTCCACCTTTCAAATTTAAAAAAAAAAATATTAAGAAATAATCTTTAACATATAATTCAAGGTTGAAGTTTTGGTATTTTTAATGATCTTCTTATAGCAAATGTGAAGACAATTTTGTGTGGAAATTTTGATGTTTTGCGATCTGATTAAATCCAGAGCTTTTATTCCACTCCGATACTCTACATTCAAGAAGCTGGAGTATCAGAATGGAACAAAATATCTGTTTTTAATCAAATAGGTGTTTTAAATATTTTTCATAAATATCATCTGATGCCAAAAACATGGTATGAGCAAAACTTCCAAAGCATTAAAATATTGCGAAGTAAAAATCCAATGTAACAGTATTCCGTCTTTGCATATTGCAGAGTTGTCTTCTCTTATGAGCAGGTATTGATTGTTATGTCATTTGTTTGTGAGAGTAACGTCATCAATTTTTGAGAAAATGACATTATTTTCTCACACAAACCAATACAATGACGTAACAATCATTACCTGCTCACAAGAGAAGATAACTCTGCAATACGCAAAGACGAAATATAAGGGAAAAAGACATCCCCTGATCAAGACAAACATCAGTTTAATGGACAAAGGGCAATAAACCTTAATATAGTCAGACAGAAGTCAACATTTGAGCATGTGAAACCCTGCTTTTAAGACAGGTACATGTACCAACATATGAAACCTGGCATTTGCTTGTGGCAGAGTAAACTATAAAAGGAAATATACCCCAGACAAAGTGATGCATACACAGACCAGGGTTCATACAGGAATTTTACTATAAAATTCTAGGCTTTTTTACGGCCTTTTTATTGCCTTCTTTTTACTCAAATAAAGGCCTCAAATTTCCGCCAAAAAAATTCTCAAAATACAAAGATCTGCCTGTATTACCTGTATGTCTCTAAACTCATCATTTAAAATCAAAATTTAACACTGGTCGGTAGTCCAAAAATCAAGAAATTAACTTGTAACAAATATCTCATGTTTTTGTATTTTCTGAATTCATTTTTATGAGAATAACACCACAAAATCACCAAAATCAATATACCATTATAGTTCAAATATGATTTAGTCAAAGTAAAGGCTTATTTTGACGGCCTCTTGTGTTATAGGAGTACAGTGGGGACTACTTATTCAGTTTGATTTAATTAAATGAAACTGACACCATGTCCTTATCACCCTTTAAGTTTACTTATGTTTTTCACTAAAATAGAGTATGATTTACCTCAATACAGATATGATGCATTCCTCCATTTTTGTTCTTGTCCAAGAAGTTCTGTATAGGGCTGTTCTCTCCCATCGGATTCAGTAACTAGGTAGAAACCACAAAGGAAGATTGTGTGATAGTCATTAAGCTGATGTCCTGGTACAGAACACAGGACATGGAAAGTACAATAACTGTGGGAAATGCTCATCCTACATTAACATTATCTCAAAAATTCGCCTCAGATAACAGGCTACGAAGGTTGGTTTGTGTTTTACATCCTATTAACAGCTATGGTCATATTAAGGACGTGCCAGGTTTGGTTTTGCCGGAGGTCCCAGAGAAAAACGACCAGTACCTGGTGACTGCCCCATGTAGGACTCGATCGCACGACCCAGTGGTGGAGGGCTAGTGGTAGCAGAATGTCAGACGCCTTAATCACTTGACCGCTGCGGCTACTTAGGGATAAAATAAATATGGCCTTGCTTTCCAGATGCTATAGTGGGACACAAAATTACATCCAGAGCTGAATCCAAGCAGACAGGGGAATTTTGACTGGTAAATAGAAAACCTGAATTTTCTTACAGTTAGGGAAGGATCATCAGAAATGTGTTTACTGTATTGTCTGATGCATGAGGTGAATACTGTATTAAGACACTTAAATTAAATGTGGTTTTTTATACATGGCCTGAAAAATATACACAATATATAAACCCTACATTTGTTGCGCTGAATCAGAAAGGATGACTGACTATATTCTTCACAAAAAGTCAATTGCCACAAATTTAATATGGTATACGGTGATTGAAATATTCAGCTGAGCAATTTAGTATTGAGCGATTCCAAGTCAAGAAAATTTCATAAATCATGAAGTTTTATGTTGTTTGTATATACAATGTTTGTAACTATGTAATACAATGTTTGTAACTATGTAATACAATGTTTGTTACTATGTAATACAATGTTTGTTACTATGTAATACAATGTTTGTAACTATGTAATACAATGTTTGTAACTATGTAATACAATGTTTGTTACTATGTAATGAAATATGATGTACATGTACAATGTTTATATATCATGAAGACTTCCATGACAAGACAAAATAGTTTTCTTTACCTGGAGAAGATATATGTATAATGTACGAACCTCTAATTTTGTATCTCCAAGTTCAATAAACACAGTGTATACGCCATGGTCAGGTTGAGGCTGTAAGAATCAAATTAGATATAAAACATATATAATAACCAACTCACACAAAATATACATAAATACCCATTTCTGATGGAACATACTGATCATAGGCTTTCTATGGCAGAACCTGTTATTCTGAGTTGGTGAATGTTGGAAACATTTTTTTATATAACAGGTTTTTTTTTCTCTTTTTTTTTCGTTTTTTGCAAGGTTATTAACATTCAATTTGTTATGTAGCGAGAACGTGATGTTTAAAAAGCTTTATCCAAATGACCTTGTGACCGTGTCCTTAGACTTTCAGCATTCAAAGTGTTTATGCTTCTTTCTTGTGATTCCGTAAATCCCTGAGAGCAGATATCTGCATTAACATTGTTTGTTTAGAAGGTAATGGTTAATAGAAACAGAAAGTGTTTTAACTTTGGTAACAATTTATTCAACACATAGTGAGAAATTGATCCATACAAAAATTGGAAAGCAACATTGGACACTGTCCTTGACCAATGACCTTCCACCTTTGCAGCTTCTTCCTTTTTTTTTTTTATTTAAGCATGTTTAGTATATATTCCGTTGATAACACGAAAAGACATTGAAATTTCAAAAAAAATCAATCACTCCAACAAATTTGGCAAATATGGTTGATGTTCATCAGCTGTTTTAAAATGTGATAGGAAGCATGATTATTTGGTCTATTGGGAACAACTTACATGTTTGTCGCTGACTTCGGCTCCAAGGACGTCCCTGAACAGAGAGGTGGCCTTGCCCATGTCAGGAACAGCTACAGCCACATGGTTTATCTTACCAATCTTCCAGTTCTGTCATGTATGCAATGATATTTTGATTTAAACATGCATTTCTAGAAATTGTTACAGATTATGTAATCTTCAATTGAAACATGATGTTCAAAATTTGACCGCATACTTTAATATAAAAGTACCCCCAAATTGAAACTGGTCCAGAATCCAAAATTAATTGAACATATTATGAACCATCACTACATTTTCAATATCAGTAATTCTTGTTTTTGCAGGTCAATTCATTTAAAATTTATTGTTTTTGCAGGTCAATTCATTTAAAATTTACAATCATTTTGACAATTATTTTTCTTTTAGCAGATTTCTTTCTTTAGTTAACAGATAGGAAGCCTCAAGTTAGACATTTGAGAATATCACCCCTTGGGTTGAGATTTTTACTATCATGCCCTCAAGGTAAGGGAAGATTCTATAAAAGATACAACAATTATAACCTATAGCTATACATGTACATCAGGTTACCATGGTTACATAAGACAGATACACCTATAGAAAAGGTGACATTCTACATGATGTCTATCTATACACACACTGTCCTTCCTGTAGGTGACAAGAGATATCATATCTAACATAAGTACCCAGATTTTCAATTTCTGAGGGGGTTCAGATACAAAAAGTTATTTTCGTAAGCAAAAATGACATTTTTTTGATGATTTTTTTCTTTAGAATGTATCCTCTTAGAACTTTCGAGCCACAACTTTGCCAAAATTACACCAGGTTCTTGAATGTGACCCATTTCTGTAGCCATAAACTAGAACCTTCTAAAATTGACCACAAGATTCTCGGGTGTGGTCTAGTCCTGTGGCCATGGATCTATTTGAACAAGACCTCAACTCCCAAAAAGATCATAACAACACACTAGAACTATTCCAGATCACCTACCCTTGACCAATCAACAGATGTTGATCATTTTTCGGACTAGTAGATTCCGACACAGTTTTCATGGAATCAATAACACTACAATATCACAAGGCTGGGCAAACCAGTCAGAGGATGGGACAATTTGAAAGAGGTTGAACACCAACAAATGATGGTGAGCTGTTTTAACATCAGTTAACTGAAAAATGTTCTAATTTGAGAATAAAAGAAGATATGTGGATCAACAACAAGCCCTTACAACCATCCTAATCCTCATCGATCAATACTCCAGAAGATATGCTCACTTTTGCTCTCTGCACCACTGGAATGTGTCATACCAAAATTGAAGGCTCAGTGTGCGCCACCTTGTGGATGATACAAGAAAATAAGTTTGTTCTCCTGATGTACATCAAAAGAATCTTGCGGACAGACGTGGAAAGGTTAATTTGACTGACTTTGAAGTCAGGTGTTGCTTCTCTGTAATCTTCAATGGACAGGTATCCGTCTATAGCAATTGGTCAGGTTTTTTTTACCCGAGACCAATCAAAAAGTTAGTCACATGCCTTCAATTTTGCTACAACATATCCAGGGAGGTGCAGGGAGGGAAAGTGAGTGGAACCCCATTGAGTATTCAGGATGAAAGATCCTAGGAAAGAAAGTTTAAATCAGAAAAATAATAAAATCACAAAGGAACTGAAACAAATATCATCTCACACACAAAAAATGGAACCAAATGCCAAAACCACAAACTTCAATTGTTCATCAAAGCCTGTCTCCAACACAGACCTTCCACATCTGATGGCCAGACAAAATTTCAATCCATGAGTTCTGGCAGAGGACTGCATGTCCCAATCACTGTCTCTACCAACCAGAGGAAATGGTGGTGGATTGGTTCAAAGGTCGAGACCAGTCAAATCACTGATCCAGAACCCACAGTCCTCCAGAGAGACAGGTCGCCCAGTGACTGCTATCTGGAGAACTTGTGATCTCCAGAAGACTAGGATGTCCTGGACGAAGCCAAGGTCCTGGCTACAGGTTGAGCCTACTGGAGAGCTGTGGTTAAGGCCTTATACAGAGTGAAGAGGACTAAGTGATTAACTAAGAACCAAGCTACAAAATATGTCTGAGAATGAACCAATAACATCTACACTGACAACATCCTTTTTACCACCATTCTTCCTTTTGATCATTTACCACATCACCCATTAAAAATCAACAAAGGTGCTAGCAAAAGTTAATCTCAATTAACCACTCGATTTGCACCTTCTGTCACTTTGATGGGTTTACCCATAAAAAAAAAGAATCATTAAGTGACATACTTACTCCAGCACATACTGCCCTTCCTGTGTGTAACAGCCTGTCTTGTGCTTTTACCTACAGAAAAAAATCTTTTTGTTTAATTCTGTTAATCAAGGTTCAGCAAGCCCAAAAAGATGGTTGTATAATGGCCACGTTAATTTCAACCCAGTGATAAGTCATGTTTAAGAACCCAATTAAACATTGATATCTAAGTATTCAGTCATAGCTTGACAAAGGGACCAGTCGGTCTTGAAACGTTGCAACACGTTTAATATGTACATTGTGTATAAAGTAATACTTTGATATCACATATTTCCAAACTGATTGATCTTATTGAAGATATCATAATTAAACATTAATATTGAGATGTGCAATTCGGATGCATTAAACTTAAGGTTAAGACCATTAAGTCAGGAAAACAAATCAACATTTAATGTTATAAAATGATAAAATGATTTTTTTTGGAGATGGAGAAAAAAATGTTCCCAGGACATTTACCAAAGTGGGGAGGGGGCTTATAAGCGAGAGGGGGCTTTTTTGCGGTAAAATATGGTAAATATATAATTCATTATTAATCTAGGTCACACATCTCTGGAATTAACATGTAAATACTATTAAAATACATCAACAAGACATTTTATAATAATTGTGGTTTTGACTAATCTTAGAGCTAGGCCAGTATTACTCTCAACAGCTAATCATTTATCAAGCTCTGCATGACCTAGGTAACTTTAGAAAGGGTTTAATTTTGTAAGCATACAGTTTCATTACAAAAGTATTATTTAAAATGAGTTCATGTTCCATATATTCAATTTACGTATCTCAACACCAATGTTTAATTAGGGTCTTTTGACTTGAAATATGACTTACCATGGGGTTGAAATTTTTGCTGACCATACCATCATTTAGTGGGCTAGTCGTAACCTTAACATTTTAATGAATCCAATCAGATCCAGTACACAACACTGATTGAGCTACATAGCTGTAGAGACCTATATAGCAATATCCACATATAGTTTAAAGTTGTATTGAGCTATCTTTCTAAGATTTCAGTTTGAATAAAAATATATCATACAATTAGATGCATAGTTTTATTTTTCAATAAATGTAACAAAAAAGCAACAGTTGTTTATTAAAGAACAATTTTATCTGATGTCTTTTGTAATCAAAATAGGTGTGGCGAAACTGAAATGGGTTGATCATCGACGATCAGGTAGCACAGTTAGTAGAGCGTCCGTCTAGAGTTCAAAGGGTCCTGGGTTCAAACCCTGGTCTGGCCGTTACATTTCTCTTTCTCCTGTCAGGCGCGTAGCTAGCCCCTTTACCATGTGTAAGCCCGATATGGGGTTGCCAAAGGCAGCCCCCCCCCCCCCCCCCGAAAGCACGAGCAGGAGGAGAGTATGGAAAGGGGTCTTCCCCCCCCCCTTTAAGTGGGGTCTGGGGGGTCTCCCCGAGGAAAATGTTGTTTATTAGAACATCTCAGGAGCCATTTAGCACGTCCTGATGTCTGTTTTCTTGTTTTCATCAGCAAGAAAAAACTCCTATGTTTTGTATATCTATATACCTATTTACGTGGATCCAGTGTAATTCTGAAGATTAACCGTCGGTATTGCTTTGTACACCCTCCGTACATACATTGTCTGGTTTTTACCTAATCTTGATAAATGCATTTGATACTTCTGCATTAGTGAACATGCAATTGGGTTTGTCTTTCTAATAATCTGATCCGAGTTAATTGGGAAGCGAGGTTACCCCCACTGTCACCTTTACTCAGTCTCCAACACAGTTTCGTCTTCTGTTTGTGCTTTGTAACTGGTTCCTTACACTTGCTCCTGTTATTTGTTGGGCATTTCGAGAAGCGAGGTTGCCCCACTAACTATTAACAATGTATCATACCTGAGGAATTACATATGTATACTATATATTCAAAACTTAAACTCCACTTTATAGTATCAGCAAGAAAAAAAACGTCATGAAAACCTATACTTGTCAAAATCATGTGCAAGCCCGGGCTTATTGGCTTACATGGTAGCTACGCACCTGCCTGTTACAATTTATTGGCGGTCTTGCCAACCCTGGTTTCTAGCATTTGGTGTCGCAATTTAATTTAGCAAGGATATACCCAAATCGCAGGATCTCGTTACAAATGTCTGGATTACACATATGATATGGGTCACAACACACATACCCATATCAGTATAGCATATGTGTATTTCATACATTTGAAATGAGATCATGTGCCCAAATCTACGTTGTTAATAGTGTTGTCCTTGGGGCGAAGACTTAGAAAAAGGAGGGTCAGTCGTTGCTATTTATTGGCTGGGTCAATACAATAAATATGGAAGAATCAGTCGTTATCACAATGCCATGTCGATTATTTTCTTTAACAGTGTTAGACACAAATATTTACATTTACAAGAAGCGAAAGTAACCAATCAACTCACTAACACAAAATAAGTTAAAGTGAAAGTAGAAACGTCAAAATAGATAAAGCTAATGTATAACTTGCAAGCAATCGACGTATCGAAACAATCGTCTGCTCATCTTTTGTCTGTCTTACCAGGGAAATGGCTCGTCTTGATATGTGTTTTAGTAAGAAGGTCATGGTACCGGTGAAACTATTGTAAAGCAGATTATTTTTGACCTTACAGTAACAAACAGAATGCGCATGCGTCGACTACACTAAGCATAAACTTCGCCTAAAATATAAGTTCTTTGTGTTTGTTATTAATTTCTGCCATGTGGAATAAAATGATACAGAACACCACTTTTAAAGGATTCCTGTCTTTTGAACTCTTTTCTTTAAACTATCAACCAAGTGAACTAATCGAATGCACCTAAACTCCAACCGGAAGTCAACTCCCGGAAGCTGATTTCACACATGTGTTGCAGCATAAAATGGCTTTTCAGGTAGCATTTCGAGCCGGGACCCGACAAAAGGCTGCAATTCAACAGGTACACATTTGTTTACCTTGTTTGTCACAGAACTTGTTTAGCTTTCGATGCTTCCGTTGTGAATTACTGATTTCCATGTTGCTGTCGTTCTGAATACAACATGAAAATGACAAGGTTGCCATGATCCACAGAAGGTTATGTATGACCTGCTTAGATAAGACAGCGTAAATTTAATGGTAACTTGCTAAATCATGCATAAAAAAAATCTTTAAAACAAGCAATAATGGTACAGAAATGTGCTAAAGTCGCCTTCTTTATCCGATTCAGCCACCTACTCATCTTCAAGTTCAGGGGCGGATGCATGATTTGCATGGGGGGATGGGTAGCAGGGTAACTATCCATGATTGTATGGGTTCGATTGTTTCAAAGGTGGTCCATATATATATTTGTTTATGTATATATATTTGTGTAATCATGTATGCACTTATCTCCTCTTGATATTTCAGCTTATCAAATGTCAGTCATGTATAGCCTCATCAGAGAGCCAACCAATAACAAGGGCAGGATACCTGGACAGTCGACTACATCAACAGCAGGTGATTAGGAAGGCAATTAGGAATTACTTTCGTACAATACAACACACAGATGTCAAAATTGTACTTCATGGAGTATGAGAAAGACTTTGTTTACATAACTATCAATCAATCAGTTTTATTATTTAAGTGCTAAACAACATGTTATAATCAGTAAAAACTTAAAGTTTCCATAAGAGTAAGATTTTTATACCCGCTGCAGATGTTTTATAACAAGGTAAAAAAAATATAACTGCATCCATAGAACAAAATTTATAGTATTAAAAACAGTAGGTCGCCACATTTTGTTTCAAGTTTTTAAGGTCAGGTAAATTTGTTATTCCAAAATGTTGCATAATTTGTTTTGCAGAGTATTTTCTACAAAGTGTTTAAATAGATCATTACTCTCCGTCCAAACTCCCATCAAAATCTACATCCTGTGGTCAAATGATCTCATAGTTACTACAGGGTGTTTGTAATGATCATGACAGGTGTGTCTGAATCAAATGACTGTTTTTCGTAGTTAATTTGATACATAAAAAGGGGAAGAAAAATTGAGCAAAGTAGTTTCAGTTGCGTTTCACACACTTTTTCCCTCATTGGAAATGTTGAATGAGGGATATCTCTGTCATTAGAGGTTTCAGAGGTTGACAACTACGATAACTAAAAGGGAAGTCAACATGCATGTGAATCACATGATTCCAGTAGCAGTACCTACTAAAGCCATTGGGGGTATGGTTACCAAAATATTATTGATACAGTCAAACATACTGATACAGCCACCTACATTAAGAGACCACCTGTGTTAAAATACCATATTTGATGTTCCCTGCTGTAGAGATTTAATTGTAAGTTGAAACCTTTATTAAAAGACCACTTGTGTTAAGAGATCGCCTTTTTATTTCCATGGGTGGTCTAGATCTTTTAATACAGTTTTGACATTAGGTGGGGTTTTATCATCACATTATTTAAACAGAGATTGATTATTTATATATGTAAACAGTATTATGTATCTTTTAGTGTAAAATCAACAAAGGTAAAAATGTCAAAAATGTTAACTTTGCTTTAGTGGTTATTTGCGGAGGAGATAAAAGAGTGATTATTGGTTTTATAATAACTTTGAAACATATTTTTTTTATTCGATAAAATGTGTATCTGTTACAGGTTCGGCACATGTCAAGCCAACCAAACTTTTTCCAAAATGTATGGAATGAAATAAAAGAAGGTTTTCAAAAAGACCAAGACATGAAGGTAAGTAATTACACTATGTTATTTTTTTTTATTTTTTTTTTATATGACTACAATAGAACATGACAACCGAGCTGTTGTTCCTGTACATACTGTATATGTATTCAAATTACATATTTTTTCCACATTGTTAAACTACAGATCGCATTATTTGAACCTGGTGACCATTAATTTATGTTTATTTACAGAAAAACTTGAAAAAATTCAGAGAAGAAACAAAGAAATTAGAAGAATCGGACGCATTACAGAAGGCAAAGGCAAAATATGTAAGTATAACAGTACTCAAACCACTATTGATAGATTAATAAGTATTTCGGCAAGGTTACATTGTGATATGTCCTCTTTGATACTGGTCATATTCAGTGCGATTTGATATCCAGGGGTAAATATGTAAGTATAACAGTACTCAAACCGCTATTAATAGATTTATTATTATTTCAGTAAGGTTACAAGATAATGTTGTAACCTTACTGAAATGATTATAAATCTATTATACTACTGAAGATGACCAGTTTCAAATGGGCTATATCATGTTACATGATATATCTCATTTGAAACTGGTCATATTCAGCAGTATATACAATTGGTATCCAGGGGTAAATATGTTGAGAAATATTGACAGGCCATTCAAACAAAACAGATTCAACCATCCATAAAGTTTATGTCCCAGTAACAGAAAGCCCTGAAATCAAGAGTTACATTTAAACAAATTTATTCAATAAAACAAGGATAATGATATTATTATAAACAATACTTGAATGCACTTAAATATCTCACGCCGTGGGACACATTTCTCACAAATTTCAATCTGTTTCACAAAAAGAAACACATTCTGGTCAATTCTAGTGAAGAAACAAAATAGTTACATAGATTCACACTGACCTTGGTCACAGAAAAGTCTTAAATCACAGGCCAACCACTTTAACTACAGGCCAGGCCATTGATAAGAGCTGCGAAACCGGACATTGAAATCCGAAATTTATTCTCTCGTCGTCATCGGGATGTTAATGAAAAATAATGTTTACACAATTAGGCAAATTTCTTCATAGTTGGATAATGAAAAATATTTTTTTTTATAATTTTTTTATAATTTTTTTCAGGTAATGAAGATTAAATATTCCTAATGTTTTTAGATATATTTGTTTTCTAGCCTTGGTTAGCAAGGATCTTTCTCTAATATTTTTATTTCTTTTAATCTTAATAATAAATTTTGTCTTTGATTTGCTTTGTTGAATGTGGTTCTATAGAAATCTATTTAATGACACCAAAAAAGGAAAAACTTTCCTTTTTATTGAAATCTGATATTTAGATATTGGTTTTATTTTTTAACATGTTTTCAATAACAATTGTAAGAAATTCTATATACAAAGTAGAATCATAATGGAAGCAAATTGTATTGTAATATATTTACTTGAAAATGTTGATAGATATATAGATGGTATGTCACATGTAAACCTCCTTGAAATTATTTTCAAGTAACCATAAATCTCCCTTATTGATTCCAACAAAGTCAATAGAGGCTACAGAATAACATATATGAGATAACACTGCATTATATGTAATGTTATTTCTGTTTTAAATGTTTTACTAATTTCTGACTAATGCAGAGAAAAAATCTCACTATTTTTGACCAAATCTCACTAAATATTTGGTACTGTGATCTCACTACTTTGCACTGGAAGGTTATGGCCTGTATGTCAAAACTGGCTTTTGCTTGTCCTTGTTTCCATCATTTTCCCATTCTATCGATATATTCTACGGTGATATATATTTGTTGATTATATATTATCATATGTGTTGATTATTTCATACTTTTGTAATATAATAAACATAACAAATCAAATTACTTGTACAATAAACACATCACAATATGTAATACTACTGTACCTGTGGTACTGTGTATTTTGAAATGGATTTAACTACAAAACCGGGCCCTTCTTTGACAAGGCATTTTTAATTATAGGGGTCAATCCCCTCCCCAAAATTATTCCAGAAAACCATGCCAGATACAGGACATGTATGTTTTCAAGTAAAACTGATATTTTTTAATTAATATTTACGCAGTGTAAATGAAACTTAGGTTTCAGGAATAACATTTCTCTAACATGCAGGTTGTGATTCTTTTTCAGATGAATATCCAGAAGGAAACCGGTGAAGAGTTCGGAAAGAAGTTTGACGACGTCAAAGAAAAGCTGAGTGGTGTAAGTAGTGAGGGTCAGATTAAAATGATATTAAACTTGTCACATAACTTCAGGTGATAAAATAAAAGGATTCTGTGATGTAAAATTCTTAGTTTCACAGAAACGTAAAAAAAATGCATGGGGTTTCCGTGTCAAAGCTATTCTAGAAATAAACATATAGCAAATTTTATGATATTGCAAAGGAAGGTATTTTTTAAGACCCGCCTCAATCATAGTTTACAACTATTGATGTTAATTAGATTATACAAGTGCCTCCCTACTGTACACAAAGCTTAATGGACAAAGTTATAGCAATGTTATTGGTTAGATTAAGCTTTTATTCCATACTATTATCAGGTGATACAGTGTACTACTAGAAATCTGAAATCAAACTTCATATATTGGATATAATGTAAGGAGTACTACACCAACAATATAAATGTAGGTCCCTGTGACCTATACTTCCATGTCACTGACTTTGGTTAGACTTTGTATAAGAGGGCAGCGGTGGCCAATTTGTTAAGACATCTGACCGTCTGTGATCACTAGCCCTCCACCACTGGTCACAGGTTCAAAGCCTTCATGGGGCAGTTGCGGGTACTGGTCATGGGTTCAAGGCCTATTCTCCGGTTACTCCAATTTTCCTCCACCGCCAAAACCTGGCTCATCCGTAAATGACCATGGCCTACTTGTATAAAACATCTCAACTCTTCAGATTTCCTGAAGTCTAAGATTTCTCATAGACAATACATTGCTTGAGATTTTTCTTACTTTGAGATTTTTAATACAAGTGGCCCCAGCGCCGTTAATAGGACGTAAAACACAAACATACCAAACTTTGTGTAAGCAAGAACAAGGTCATAAATGTATTTTCACAACATTTTCTAGATTATCAAAGTAAATAGAACTTACTTCAGTTTTTAGTGTGCTAAATTATTATTGTTTTAATAACATTTTGTACCATGTATTATGTTTTGTTGTTGTAGACCTTCAATGAATTGTCTGAACATGAAATGGCCAAAAAGGGGAAGGAATTCACAAAGGAAACGCTGAAGTCTGCTGGTAACTTGGCAGATACCTTGTCAAAGGGCGTGACAAAGGGAGGTCAACAATTAGGACAGTCAAAACCTATACAAACTATATCAGAAGTAAGTAAAAGGAATTTTGGTTCAAAAGTAATTTAACAAAACATGTACTGCATCAAATTTATCAGTTATGGACTTTAGTTGAGGTAAATATTATTCAATTATAGCCTTTGGCTGAGGTAGATACCTGGATTTATCGACCTGAGAAAAGATATATTAACAGAGGATGCAGTCCGAGGTCAATATATCTTTTCTCGGATCGATAAATCCAGGTATTGACCAAAGTCAAAAACACATCAAAAAGCTACGGAAGAGGGACGATAAGTTCGTTTGGAGACACATCATTATTCTATTTTTAGAAACACCCAGTCCTTCAACAAAAATCATGCACTCCAAGTCAATATCGGTTTTTATCGGTGGACACGTGATTCACTTCTGGTCAATCACTTGTCGAGAATAATATGAAAAAATAATAAGTAGTTATATGAACCTGAGAAAGTTGATATTGACTGAGACGAAGTCAAGATCAACCTTTTCAGGTCTACACAAACACAGATTCACCTCGACAAAGGTCCATAATTGTTATATTAGAAGATGCTAAATAGTGTTAAAATCATTAAAAAAAGAAAGAATATATGAAAATTGTTGGGCGAAAATACTGCATTTGGTAGAGAGTATTGTGATGGTACAGTTGAAATGACATCATAAACCAAGTTAATATCACAAGTCACCAACCTCATCTTAATTATGATCCAACCAGAATAGAAATATATATACTTTACAACTTTTGAGATGTATATGAATGAGGCAAAGATATAGCAAGAGGTTGATATGAATAATATAGAAATGACAATATAGTGATTTAAATTTGGGTCATAAAGTTTAAAAGCATTGCAAAAATTTAGAGTTTCAACTTGCCAGTAAAATGTCATGCAAATCAATGCATTTCATATAAATGTATTCGAAAATAGAAATGATGTCTGTTAAATTGAATATCAAATGTTTATATTGAATATCAAATTCATAATGCTGATACAATGTATTTGTCTGATCTGATGCAGGCTGTGAAAAATGAACTGAAAGACATAGATACAACAAGAGCACAGTGCTACAAGAAACCAGGTAGGCTTTACCAGGCTTTACAGGTTAGTACACACACTGTGAATGTCCTACATAGAATCAGTTGGACTGTACACACAGACTGTGTGTATACTTGTCATTATACAAAGTATTGGATGGGATTTGCACCTTTGTACATAAATAGTGTGTATATGAAGTAGACCTGTGAGTTATATAATGTTCCTACAGCCTTAGAATGTTACAAGGAAAGCAATGATCAAATCCTGAACTGAATACAGATGGTCTCGACCAAAATATACATAACTGACATTGTGTATGTATAGACATACCAACACTTTTAGCTCTGTGAAAACTAAAATTTACTAAAATTCTTCCCCTTCAAGCCCTTGTCGTAATATCACAATAATACATTTTTCAGTACATGTTCTACCAGATTGTATTAAGAATGATTTGATTTGCTTTTTCAGAGGTGCTTCGAATGCGATCTGAAGATTCTGTTAACTTCAAGAGGAAAGAGGAAGTAGCACCTAATGAGTAAGACGTTGTTTCTCACATCATCAAATCATACTTTCCTGACAAAGTTCTAACTTGTCTGAATACCAAGTGATGATATGAAGTCTGAATGTTATTCATCTGCTTCTATAACAGACATTTACAGTAGTATCAATGTCAACTGTTTTACGACATTTTTCTCTTCTGTTGGATTTAATTTTATCAATTCATAAGTAAAGTCTGGAATGCGACAAATTTCTTTGACATTCTCAACAATACTTAACTGTCATTTGATTATATAATAACATGCATTGTCCTGCACTCTATAGATATTAGATGATATCTTCAAAAACAATTCTGACTGGTGCCGTTTTTGAAATGTTCATTTTCTGATTGATCAAATAATAATGGTGCTATACAAATGAAAATGCATTAATTGTTTTTTAGCAAAATTGAATAAATAACAACTAAATCATGTGAGTGAAAAGATGAATTTATATAAAATGACCAAAACTAAATCTGGTAATGTTGTGTCTATTAAAGATATTTGCATGTTTTTTACATAACCAGAAAAAAATAGTCCTTCCTAATAAGTAATCATGTGGATTAGTTAGCATTAGTGAGGAATGTATTGTGATTCGCACTGCATGTAGTTTTGTTAGTTATTTGATATCTATAAACTCCTCCGATATAATTACTGTACTTGTTTTACAGAGAGGACACTGGGATGGTTCTACATAAAGATTCCAAATTTTACCAGAGTTGGACCAATTTCAAGGATAATAACCAGTATATAAATAGTATGTATTACATCTACAATAACTTCCTGGCTATGATTTATATTATGGGAGATAATTTCCCATGTGAATTAACATCACATGGTACATCACACTGTCCTTATTTACTTTCTCTTTCTCAAGCATCAATTCTTGAGAAGGTTTTACTAGAGAATTACCGCAAATTCATATGAAAAACTATGGCTGACAATGACGCTATCCTATATATCTTAAGGAACAGAGATAAAGGAAGGTCTGATAAAACAAAACAAAACTACACTGAGTGCTGTTTATATTGAAAGGCAGAAGAGCTTTACATTGATTTTCACTTCATGTATTTTGCTTTCATCATTTAGGGTTTTGATTTGACATAATTGTGAATTGTAATATGCGGTTTGTAGAAATGTTTGAGCTGAAGATGAAATACGACGAGAGTGATAATGTGATGGTACGGGTTACCCGGACGTTTACAGACAAAGTCAGCGGTTTACTGAGTAAGTATTCTGGACGATCGGGTTCCACTGAATTACCAGGAGACAGAAATATGTCTGATATATTGTTTATAAGGGGATATCTCCGGAGTAAATGTGTCTGATATTTTCTTTTTTTACAAGGAAATGTCTCAGGAGCCAATATGTCTGACATTCTCCTTGTTTACAAGGGGATGTCTCAGCATTAAATATGCCAGACATTTTCTTTGATGAAAAGGGGATGTCTCAACAGTAATTTTGTCTGTCCATTCTCCTGGTTCAAAGTAGGATGTGTTGGTATTAAACATGTCTGACATTTTTCCTTGTTCACAGCAAATTTTCTCAACAGCATGCATTTCTGACATTCTGAAGTTACTAGGGGATGTCAGTGAGGGGCCCAAGCTTATTTATTAGAGTTGTTTTTCACTTTTTTTATAATATGCACTGTCAATGTGTCCTGAATTTGTTATTAGAACTGAAATATTATTCTATCATTTCAGGTGGTATGTTCACAACAACAGAAATGTCAGAAGTTTTAACAGAAATCTGTAAAATAGATCCAACATTTGATAAAGAAAACTTCATCAAAACCTGTCAGTTAGACTTCATTCCAAACATTTTAGAAGTAAGTATACCATCGCTATACTCACGTGACACAGAGTTATTTCCCTTGAGGCCTACATTCATAAGGCTGTGTTAACGTTTGCGACCATTGTTTTTGATGCACACATGTAAGTATTCTTCAAAAAGAAAATTTTAGGTTGAAAAAGATTACTGTAAACCAATTTATTTCTATGAATATTTTTTCAGCTGTGTCTTAAGCCACCTGTTTTCTCTTCACAAGTTTATGCTCAAAAGTATGGTCTGACAAAAGATGAGTGATTGAAGTTAAAAGATGAGAATACAAATGTTCAAATAGTGTTATGCTTCTCTAGATCAATGAAGCCTTTTATCATAACAGTGAAATAGTAAGCTGTAGGAAATAGGAAGCTGTAGGAACAGTGAAATAGTAAGCTGTAGGAAATAGGAAGCTGTAGGAAATAGGAAGCTGTAAGAAATAGGAAGCTGTAGGAAATAGTAAGGCCAAACAAATTTAATTACTTGGTTCTCAGGCCAATTTTAATCAAAAGAGATGAGGCAGGGAGGTTTAAAAAAATCATTTTACATGACAAAAATGAGACGAGGGAGATTTTTTTTTTATTCCAAACAACTGTAGTTTGTAAAACATCCGAAAATCCCCCCACAATGTTCCAGGGGGGAATCATGGACCCCCATTCCTTATTTGTAGCGAAATGAGCCCCATTTGTACACAAGATTAATAAGTCATATTTGTTTCAATGCTTGCCTGTATATCATTATTCAAACGTTTTCGGGACTTGGGTGACTAACGAGTAAAAACGACATTCGGACCAATTTTCCAGATTTTTTTTATAAGACGGTGGCTGGCGCATTCACAATTTTTTTCATTACTTTCACCATAAAATTGGCAATGCGGTGCCCAAAATTGAAATGCGTGTGGGCCTGAGAACCAAGCAAAAACAAAAATGACCTAAGCTGTATGAAATAGTAAGTGGTAGGAATTAGTAAGCTGTATGAAATAGTAAGCTGGAAATAGTAAGCTGTAAGAATTAGTAAGCTGTAGGAATTAGTAAGCTGTAGGAAATAGTAAGCTGTAGGAAATCGTAAGCTATAGTAATTAGTAAGCTGTAGGAAATAGCTTTGCTTAAGCTTTGATATAATGTCCCATTTTTCATTTGCCACCTGACTTACCACCAACAGATGTCATGGTATCTTTCCCTCATTTCCGGACAATAAATTCCTCAATATGTCTCCCTTTATATATTGCCAAAACCATTTAACCCCAAAATATAACTATACAATTTGAGACAGTTTTATTTAAACGGTTTCAGTGTTACTGCACTGATGTTTTTTTTTTAGAAATCCTTCTTTGGAAAGAAATTATCTCTTTCACATTAAAATGATTATTTTAGCTACGGTTAACTGATTTCTAAAGTCCCCTGTGTTGGAGCTGTATTCCTCTGCTTTTTGCCTCGCCACCACCATGTGGAAGCGAGGCTTAGGTGTTGCTTTTCCGGAGGCGGCATCAACATTAAGTTTTTGTGTTTAAGTATAAAGTATAAGTGCTGGACAAACAAAACTTTGACCATAGATGCATCTTAGGTAGTACATCTCAACCCATACATCAAATGCTGGATACCGCCTACCTTTCATGGTCCATTGACTTTGTTAGCATCTCCATCAACATGAAATTTTTGCATTTAAGTTAGTTTCTCTGATATGTGCATTGATGGTCATTAAGCGGGGCACAGGCGAGACATATCAGGCTTGTTTTTTATATCAGAACAGTTTCACTAATGCTGATATGTCTTTCCTTTCAGGCAACTCTCAGTGGTGATCTTGAAATATTAAAGGATTGGTGTTATGAAGGGGTAAGTGTTTGAATGTAAAGATTTAAAATTAACAGCTACATATTTTTCTATAGAGAAACATAGTGTTACATTTGAAATTAAAACATAGAGAAAGAAATAGGAAAATGATGACTGAATTCTTAAGAATATGGTGAAAACTGTCTGAAAGAGAACATAACTGCTGTAAATTTGAATGTTTTGGTTTAAATTAAAAAATATTTATGTTTATTGAAGATAAAAAGGCTTTAAAAGCCTTCTTTTTTTCAGAAGATGAAAAGATAATTTTGCACACTTGTCAGAATAATGTTTCCTGTTTTTGTTTCTTTAACCAAAAGATTTCCTTGTAGCTGAATTTGTTCAGACCGTAGGAAAACAACATAATAAGGTTCAAAAAGTGTAAAGTTTCTATTCAACCTTGCTGTACGCATGTGGCCTTTGGCCAAGCTATACTTATACATCCCTTTGACTTAGTTACATGTTTGTGTGTCCAAATGCTAATTTGTTATTTCAATGAGTAATAAAAAAATATTTGTTGCAGGCTTTCAACGCATTAGCACATAATACCAAACAGAGGCAAGCAGTAGGCCTTAGATTAGATCACAAAGTCCTGGATATAAATAACATTGAGGTATGTATATATTTGCAGTAAAACAGTTATCAAGTTTTAAAAATATAACCTCGGCTTACATTTCCCCTCGTTAATTATTTCCTTAAATAAGTCACAAGTTTTAAAAAATTTTCCTGTTTCTGAGGAATTTCATACTCTAAGCATTAAAACCTTTGTTAACTCACAAAATCACCAGAATTTTTAAAATGAAATCATATACAGTCAGGAAATAATACCATGTATAGTAAAAATTTATTTAATTTTATTAATAACTTAAACTTTCATGAGGTGAAGATCCTTGGGTAGAATTAGAGAAATTTCTCAGAAATAACAAACAAAAAAAACCTACATAACGCCCTCACTGAATGTGATGTTAATGGACAAAGGACTTTGTCATATCAGGTCATGACTATCAGAAAATAAGGTAACAAACGGACCAATAATTGGCAAATGCTGGTTTATAGAAGAAAGTACATGCATGTTTGTAATGAGAAGAAAATAAATCATTTGTACATGAAGGTTCAAAACCTGTTCTTTTCAAAAGTACAATATCCTCGTTTCCTCATTGTTTATATCAAAGCTGACATCTTGGTCATTAAATATTTCATGCTGATATATTTCCCATCATGGAGTCCCTATGTATGTGTCATGCTTGTTCTCTGGCTTTACAGGTCGTTGGTGCAAAGATGATGGAGCAAGGCCCTGTGCTCATTATCACTTTCCGCTCACAGGAAATACGGGTTATCCGGGATGTGAAGGGAAAAATTGTAGAAGGACATCCAGTGAGTAAAAATTTATTATAAATGAAAATATTGATATCAGAAATATCTTTACTACTTGAAATCATTTCTTCAAACAATATTGTTGTAATTTTAGGTACTTAAAAAGCAACTTAACTGAATTGTCTTAAGTGATGCAGAAAACAATGAAAGGTGTGAAATGCCTTACAGAAAATTTAATAGAATTGATTCAATATAACATGAACCCGTCCATTACAGAATTCAAATCAAGCATTTGTTTTCTGAGATTTATTACGTTTTGAGGGAAAAAAATTGTACTGGATTCACCATGTTAATTCACCTAAACTCTGTTCTACCTGTATACTGGGAAATTTTCGCCTTTTTTCGTCTTCCTTAATGAGGGCAAATTTATCAGTAAAGGAGGGAAATATGAGTTAACATCTGCATGGTATATATAGTAGTTAAATGTGAAGGGCGAAATTAGCACTGGGCAAAAATTTTGTTTTGTTGGCGAAGGGCGAAAAATTGCATAACATTACCCGGTATTCAGTAAATCTGCTTGTGTCTAAAAATATTGACTCTGTTTCAGGACACAGTAAGTCGGATCATATACGTGTGGGCACTGTGTAGAGACCAGGAAGAGTACAGTCCAAAGGCGGCCTGGAAACTTCTGGACGTCTCGGAACAAATCGGAGAAATGTGGCTGTAAAAGAAAGTATTACAGGCATTGTAGAGACTAGAAAGACCTCACGCAACAGACATTGGGACTTCTTCACACAGCAGACCACCGATGTTTTTACATTCAGAAACTTCAGGAATATTCATATCCTATATACAAGGACTATCGCAGATCTTGCCTGGAAAATATTTTTAATCCAGCAGTATGCTTGATACACAGAGATTTTTTTAGAGAGATGCAAAACTATTATTCACTGCAATTAACCCTTCTACCACTGTAGACCTCAATGGACTGAACCAGATCAATTCATGGAAGAGTTTACTAAAATTACATACGGGTGAAAGGGTTAAACATTTGTAGGTTTCGATAGGATAGGATTCAGTTTAATGATTTACATTTGCATGAAAAATGTGTGTTCAGAGAGTTGAGTTGTGTCTGTGATATGTCAGTAGGCAGTTCATGTATGAAAAATAACATTTCTGTTTAGAGAAATGATATTTATGATGATGTAGCAAGCAGTTATGATAATGTTATTAAACAACTTCTGTGAGAGTTCATCAAGTGCTTTACCAGGGGCCTGTTCGTTTATGTGGAACGAACGGTTTTTCTGTTTTTAAATGTAACATTTTTGGGTATTATTACTAGCAAACCTGCAAATGTTTAAGCAGGCCTTGTAAGGCTTTGTCAAGGCTCACCTGAAAGCAGCATCAGATTACTAGGTCTGACCTTATTTCATAAACGAACAACTCTGGTCCATCCGGTTTAACCATTTGGACCACGATAAACAAAAATGGCCCAGCATGTTCCATGTCTTACAAAAATTCAAGTGAAAGGGACTACTTCCTTCTCCCCTAAACCCCACGTTAAGTAATATTTTTGAAGCCATAGATCAAAGATGGCGAAAAGGAAATGAATATGTAAATTGAGCACTCCATCGTTCTTTTACCTGGAGCCTGTTTGTTTATGCAGACCAATCAATGTATCCTTCTTTTTTTTTTAAATGTGATATTTCGAGGTTAATCCTAACAGACCTGTAGATTTCAATGCAGGCCTTCAAAGTCTTTGCCAAGGCTTGTCAGAAAACGACATAAAACCACTAGGTCCATCATTATTTCACAAACGAACAACTCTGGTCCAATCATTTGGAAAACCTTAAATGAAAAACAGCCTTGGTCTCATTTGATTTGCTGTCTGACTATTCTACGAATAAAATACTTTACCATACTTCATTTTTCCTCTTTCTCTGAATCATTCCAGGAATTATTCAGATATTCAAACTTTTAATTTTAAAAAGATTTAAATTGAATTTAAAATTCAAGCTTTTATCAACAACAACTAAAAAAATCTTGTTTCCTTACATTGTTTACTTTGTTTAAGTATACATATAACTGGTTGATAGCGAATATTTTTCAAACAAACTTTATCCAGCTATTTGAGTTTTTCTGAGTAATAAAATGAAGAATGATTTGTGAAATTGTGTGTGAAATTGTATTTAAAATTGATAGAGTAAAGCAAAAAGATATAGGTTTAAAAATACATTTACTGTGATATTGTTGCAAAGTATTATAAAATTATTATCGACTATATGTTCCTATCAAAAAGAATCATGGTCAGTTTTCTTATCGTCTGCAAAGTGTGCAAACTTTTTTTTCAATGCCAGTGACTTACGTAATGTCTGTTATACCAAACATTATAAGTAAGATAACTTATTAACGCATCGGTAAATGTTTCTAAATTGAATAAATGTACATTTACTATATGAATGTATTTGAACTAGGTAGACAGAAGTAAGTATCCTCAGGATTATTGGTCTACGTTATACATACCGGTAATGATTATAAATGTTGGCCTGATTTTAAAAGAAATAAACAAATAATGTTTTTACATTGAGTTATTGTTGTTTACTTAATGTATGCCATATAAATGCTACTTTATGTTGAGTACTACCGCAGGTACTATAGCCTCGTCTGTCAGTACACCTTATATTATAGGTGTATTGACGGACGAGGCTAGTACCTGTGGTACTACAACTAAATAAAATGTATTTACTTACGTTAGAATTTAATGATTTTCAAAGAAGAAAAAAATCCTGGTTGTCAATTTTTCCCTGAACCAAATTACATGTAGGCTTGCAATAAATCAGTATGTTAAATTTGTGTCGGATTATTTAAACCTGTGTTAATGACATAATATTTCACTTTATCAGAACTTTACAGGGTAATACATAACACTTCCATTACTCATTTAGGAAAATGAAACTTCATTATCCCTTCACAACAAGGCCATGTAGGGGAGGCTGACAATATTTCAAGGTAAAGTTCACAGCTATGGAATCGTGAAAATTGTACATCTAGATTGATCACAGGTTTCTGACTTACGTTACGAAAATCGACACAAGCACTCCTAACATCAATCTCTGGAGCTCAGGTGAAAGTCAACAGCTACAAAGTCGTAATTAATGTGATGATGAAAAACGGAACTTTAGACTTGGTTGCAAGTTCCAAACTAAAAGTTTTCAACTAAATGGGAAATTTCACACAATTACTCCTGGGGCCTGTTCATTTATACGGATTAACCGGTTTGTTCGTTTTTAAATGTCACATTTTCAAGTATTAATCCTATGACCTGCAAATGTTAAAGCAGGCCCTGCAAGGCTTTGTCAAGGCTCGCCTGAAAGCACCATCAGATTACTAGATCCGACAATATTTCATTAGCAAACACCTCAGGGTCCAACTGTTGGATCGCGATTTAACAAAAGCGGCCCTGATGTCAGTCTCTGAAGACCAGTAGAAGGTCAAGGTCAGAGTTACAGCTACAGAATCTTTTGCATGATGGGATAATTTGATATTTGGCATGTCTGCAGATTCATGAGTAAGCTAGGTTTTCAACCAAATATCATGTACATTTCCTGACATCAATCTCTCAAGACCAGCTCAAGGTCATACATGTGTACAAGGTCAATGTCATTGCTACAGAATCTACAAGATTATAGAAAATTGCCTTGTTCACACATTCCTGATTAGTTTTCAACGGAATTTTCATGAAAATCCACATAATTATTACTGAAACCAACTCAGGATACCAGGTCAAGATCAAGGTCACAGCTACAGAATCTAACATGACAATGGAAAAAATGTCAACCCAACAAAGCTTATTTCATAATTATTAACACCTGATCCTGCTTTACTCATTTGCACATATCATGTACATATGTATTTTAAACTTCCACTACTATTGCAGACGATTAAGTAGATATGTATGTCATTCTATCAGTCAGAATCCAGCTCCCACAAGGATGTCGGGGGGTGTATGTGTTAATTTGTGTAGTTTATGGTATCCTTGTCAGGTTTGTCACACTCAACATTCTATAAGCTTATAACAATAGTGTTATCTTTTGTTGGTCTGTAAGACTTCCCAGCCTGTTCTGGAACCACCAGTTTGGTACAGCTAAGTGGACAGGTACAACTAAAACTTACACTAAACCAAATTAGTCAGTGGTATGCAGACAAGAGATCCCAGAGGGATCTTGGCGCCCACATTTGTACCATCTTCATTAGTTCTCTTTGTCAGTTCGATCTTTTCTCTTCTTTCCTCTAATCTGTTTGATCGAGTCATGTTAACAGTAAATGCACCTTGAGGTAACTTTTGATCTAAACTTAAAACTGATGTGTATGAAAGCCAACCTTCAAAGTGAGTTTGTCATTTCACATATTTACTAGTACAGTACTTAATGTGAAAGAAATATAATCGATCATTGCAATATTAGAAAGATCTGTTTAGTTCTTCTTTTAATCCATTTTGTTTTTATGATCAGTCTCAAAATATAACATGCACAACGAGACATCAAGGGGAACCTACATATAAAATTTGAGAAAGATCACTCTGGTACTTCCCGAGAAATAGCGATAACAAACTTTCACTATCAAAATCCAAGATGGCTGCCTGTCGGCCATGTTGTTTATCCGATCAGTCTCTAAAATTGCCCTGCACAGCTAAGACCAAGGGGAACCTACATATAAAATTTAAGAAAGATCCCTCTAGTTTTTCCGAAGAAATAGCGGTAACAAACCTACACTATCAAAATCCAAGATGGCTGCCTGTCGGCCATGTTGTTTATCCAATCAGTCACAAAAAATGCCCTGCACAGTTAAGGACCAAGGGGAACCTACATATAAAATTTTAAAAAGATCCCTCAAGTACTTCCGGAGAAATAGTGATAAACTTTCGCTATCAAAATCCAAGATGGCTGCCTGTCGGCCATGTTTTTTATCCGATCAGTCTCAAAAGTTGCCCTGGACAGCTAAGGACCAGGGAACCTACATATAAAATTTGAGAATGATCCCTCTGGTACTTCTTGACAAATAACGATAACAAGAATTGTTTAAGGACGGACCACGGACCAATGTTGATTTGAATAGCCCATCATCATCAGATGGGGGGCTAAAAAGAATGACAACAATGTTTAGAAATTTCAGTAATTTATTTTTTACATTCATATTTCTTTATATTCATAAGTTCCCAATAGAGCTTGTATAAATAATATGTTCTTAACATAGCTACATGCTTACTTCATTTACATAATGTATTACTATATTTAGTAAATATATATTGACATTGGTCATACACTTGATGCATCTTCTCATTCAAACAAGACTTCCTGAATGGAACAACACAAAGTGAAGTAGAAGACTGATGCAATTTTTCCATTTTCCTGACATTTAGCCTACTGGTAGTTGTGTTGATTGATTTAGTTTTCATGTTGCACCGATGTCACGGTTAGCAGGGTTTATGTCTTAATGTCTTCATCACATGGGCGATCTTTATTGAAATAATAGAACATTTAAGCTTGCTCTATATATGTGCATTATGTATGTACATAAAGCAAGCTTCCATTATCTACATTCATTATTTCATTCACCCTTTAATAGACTCTTGGTCAAAAACACAGGTTATTAAAGATCGTGAAGGGAAGTAACTCTAATAAAATTGCTGTCATGCATTCTTCAACTTCCTAGACAAATCTATGATATTGCTGTACCTGATTAACACACCCCATTGACATTGATGTAAAAACAAACATTTACATTTTTAATTTAGGTGAAACTATTTGTCAGATATACACAATCTTAAGATATACAGGTATTTAAAAAAATTGAATGACTATCGTTGTTCTTTTCAATTTAACAAACAATTCCATTTTAATTCTCAGTAATGTTTTGCCTTGACCATTCGCGGGGAGAATAAAAATTCATTAGCAATTTCTTTTACTTTTACATAATCAATTAATGTGTCATACAAATACCCCAGTAACATTATACAGCTGACTGAAGGCTATCATCTGCTAGAAATGTTATATATATGCATGTGTATATAGGCTATTAGTACTGTGAGCAATCCATATTCCCCACCTCCGAATAAATTTTCTTACAAAAAGTCATGGAAAGGATTTCTGTGTTTGGAACAAGATACCTGATTTCAATAAAGGACACTGCCATCCCAAAGTTTTTTAAATTGTAGCTGACAAGAGTACATAGCAGTGGGTTTTTTTCTAGGTTAAATACTAGGGGTAACATTGGTAGTGTTATCTATGCAGAACTAAACAATTTAGGGGGAACGGAGAAAACACTCACTGTAATAGTGAGCCAAGAGACCTGATAAGTCATTTTCAGCTGGCATTCATATGACTATAAACGCTGACTAAAGGCAGTACAATGCTTTCACAATAATATGTACCTGGTAGGTAATTTTCCAATCAAAAAAGATGTATCTGAAGTAACCAAAAATTATATTTCAATTTCCAATCACATCATTTATCTTTTAACTTTCCACAATCTGTGCTTGTCTGAGTCTCTATCTTAAGTTTATTCATGTCACTGATGTCAACAATATCTTTATCACATGATTTTTCCACAGTTTTTGTACCATCCAGTAAATCTGCATCCTCATCCTCATCAGCATCATCATCATCATCTTCACCATCACTGCCTTCATCACTGACACAGAAGCCATCGTCCCCGTTACCCTCTCTGAGTTTCTTCAAAGCCTCGCTTGTCGACTTTCCACTGGCTTGTAACCGGAAAAATTGTCCTTTAAACAGAGAGAACAATAACATAATGAAAATTGTACAAAATAACCCAGACCTTATAACAACAGGAGCATACGTCAAAAATCAAGATTTTCTGTTATACAATGCAGGGATTTCCATAATTTTAGGTTTTGCTTCTAGCAGAACACAATTTTGTTCCCTACTTAAGAAGGACTTTCAGAAAATCTTTTAATTTTAAAAGTTGATTTAAATTCTTCAATATAATTTTTACACAAATATAAGGAATGTGACTCCGAAAATACTCAGAGGAAAACAAATGCATAGCACAAACTTCAACTTTTACCTAAACAATGAAGGAAAGCTGTGTTAACATCAGATCTACATCTGTTAGGTGATAATTTATAACACTGCCATTAAAGAATCTGAATTTTAACTAATTAAACAAACAGAAATATCTATAGGAAATTGTTAGTAAAACACTTTTTCAAAATTAATGAACAAAATTAATTACATTCCTGGATAAAAATGTATGATAATCCAGTCTTCCTGATAACCAAAGTTCCACTATAAGGAGGCAGGACCCAAATCAGATCAGTACCAAATCGTATCACTTTTTGCAAAAATAGTTTTAAATCAATAAATGTGTCAACAGATTAGTTATAACTTTAGAATATATAGTCATGAACCATATTTTGTCTACAGTTGGTTAGTTTTTAAGGTCAAATAGTACTAGGAAATATAATTCAAACTCAAATGTCGGTGTTTTGTTAACATTTTTAGAAAAATGGCACGTGCGACAACTATGCATTCTGTTATGGATTATAGGAATAAATTCACCCTATAGAAATACTTGTTTTCATATTAATTCCAAAGGTCATCATAAAATGTTAATATGCTAAAAAAAAATATTCATTTGAAGTGTAAGATATTGCAAAATTCAAGCCTTGATCTGATTTGGGTCCTGACATTCGCAAAAACCGGAAGTGCTGATAGATGACTTCAGAGCGTTCTAAAAATATTTCACATGAGCCCTGGGTGCTATTTTTTTTGTAAGAACACCCATCGATATTCTTCCTTTGATACAACCATAAATGAATATAATTCATCCTCAAGAATTTTCAATGAATGAATAAATTGATGGTTTGGTTAACCGATTTGGGTACTGTCACCTTACATGTTATATACAAACAAAATTTGTAATACACACTTCTCTGTCTTTCTGTTAGATGTTCTAGCTCTGCTTCCAACTGACTCTGCTGTGACATCTGCTCTGCCTCTGACAGTCCAGGTCTGAAAAAACACAAATATTGAAATATTGAAGATTTTTTTAGTATATGTAGGTGCAGAATAATAAACTCTGATTCACCGCAATTTGTATGTTGCACTTCACAAGAATGATTTACCAGTCAGAAATGTACAACCCATTTTGCTGACGTACTGAAACCTTGCATTGCCACCCCTGTAATGTTATACCGCCAAAATTGGCACGGGGACAAAAGGTGGCGGCATAATGAGGGATTACTGTTTGTATATGTCCATTTTTGCTAATAATTTTTTATTTTTCATATGCGTCTCTAGTAGGGTATACAATTGATATCTAGGAATGCAAAAAAAGTCCAGAGGCAGGGATGTTTTGGTTTCGTTTTGATATGAAAAGGCATCATAACCTAGCGCAATTTGATATCACGTGGTTCTTTTATGGCACTTCGTATTGCTCTGTGCAAGCAGTATTTATTTATATATATCAACTCAAACAAGAGGGCCTGTATCGCTCACCTGTTTCTTTTGTTACAAGCAACTGACATATAGGCAACTTAAGACCAAATTTGGTAACTAGAACACAAGACATTTTTACATCTCTTAAACGGTTCTGAAGATATTGTTATTTGAAACTTGAAATTTTAATTTTTAAGCTTTTAACCCATATTGACCTTTGACTCCCGACTTGCACTTAAAGTTTACCTTTGACCTCAATACTGTAATAAAGAAATCAATTCACACAGCTACATAACATACCCAAGTATCATGTTTCTAGTTCAAATGGTTCTTAGGATATTGTTGTTTGAAGTTTTAAACATATTTGAGCAATGTGATCTTGAAAGTAGGTCAAGGTCATTTAAATATAGAAACTTTATAGCACTTCATCCCAGGTACCTACTGGCCAAATTTCATGACCCTGAGCCTTATGGAATTTGAGAAGAAGATTGTTTAAGCCTTTGACCCATGTTGACATTTGACCCGGACTTGCACTTAAAGTTGACCTTTGACCTCATTACTGTAATTGAGAAAAAAAGGTTTGCATTGCTGGTCTACATAACATACACAAGTATAATGGCTCTAGTCCAAATGGTTCTTGGGATATTGTTGTTTGAAGTCTTTAACATATTTGACCTCTGTGACCTTAAACGTAGGTCAAGGTTATTTTAATGAGGAAACTTTATAGCACTCCATCCCAGGTACCTAATTGCCAAATAGCATGACCCTGAGCCTTATGGAATTTGAGAAGATTGTTTAAGCCTTTGACCCATGTTGACCTTTGACCCCAACTTGCACTTAACATTGACCTTTGACCTCATAACTGCTATTAAAAAAATATTAGCACTGCTGGTTTACATAACATACCCAAGTATCATGACTCTAGTTCAAATGGGCCTTGGGATATTGTTGTTTGAAGTTTTTACATATTTGACTGCTCTGACCTTGAAAGTAGGTCAAGGTAATTTTAAGGAAGAAAGTATATAGCACTCCATCCCAGGTACCTACTGGCCAAATATCATGACCCTGGGCCTTATTGAACTTGAGAGAAGATTTTTAAAGCTTTTAACCAAAGTTGACATTTGACCCCCGACTAGCATTTTAAGTTGACCTTTGACCTCATTACTGTAATTAAGAAAAATATTTGCACTGCTGGTTTACATAACATATCAAAGTATCATGACTCTAGTTCAAATGGTTCTAAGAATATTGTTGTTTGAATTTTTTCACATATTTAACCGTTGTGACCTTGAAAGTAGGTCAAGGTCATTTTAATAAGAAAAATGTATAGCACTTCATCCCAGGTACCTACTGGCCAAATATCATGACCCTAGGTCCTACAGTTTTTCAAGGAGTCGTTCAAAAGAAAATGTTGATGGCCGGACGCTGCAGTACGCGAAGGGCCATGTGAGCTAAAAAGGAATATGAACACTTTTGATTTTGACTCTACTGGTGTCAACTTATATAGAGAGCCCCCCACCATAACAATGCTTCCCATTCCATGGATACATAAATAATAAATGATAAATTTATAATCCCTAGGCTGATTTCAGATGTAAATATTTTAATCAGTTTTATATTTTATGAACTAATCATTACTCACACTTCTGTTACTTCCTTTTTCTGTCCACATTTTCCACAGACCTGAAGTTTTTTCATACAGGGGACACATATGATAAAGTAGGATTTTTTTACAGTTTTTTCCAGGCATTTTGTACTGCAAAGAAAGAGATGAAAACATGTTAATATTTGGAATTGTCTGAACTTTGATTTTCCTATCTTAATTGTAACATCCTTGTTCCCTACACGTCACGTCCATTGATTCTGTTTTCAAGAGCTTGTTCCAAATATCGAGATTTCTGTTACAGATGTTGACTGCTGATCCCCACATTTACATTTCTAAAGATGGAGGTTGATGAAGACTACCGATAAGTTTTGGTTGCCATCATGATTTTATTGCGATATATGCTATTCCTTTGTGCTATATGCAGGTCAACATTTATTTGTTACGCTCATTAGTGTGCCTTTTTTGTCACTACCAGAGTTGTTGCTATGAGGACATGACTTTCTTTGGTTTTCCCAGGATTTACATGGCAATGTGCTTACCCTTCCCGAACACCTGGTCTTATTCTCCTTAAACTGCTTACAATGTTACTTTAGAGTAGGTAGGTAGGTATTTTGAAGGAGAATGATCTTGACTTTAAAACTATATTTTTGCCTTTGAGTTGTTGATAAGTGAATGAGTGTAAACATTTCTCGGTTTACAATTGTTTAAAATTTCCCACTTGAGAAAATGCAATTTCTGTAGAGACTAATCAACAAAAAGAGGTGGTGCAGAAATCTTCTTAACAACAATGATATATTCTGTTTCCGGTCCAGGTTGGTTAGTCACTCCCTGACCTACAAAAATGTTGTATGGTCAGGTGGGAAATTTTGAACGATTGTAAACCGAGGACACTACTGACGGAATTTAGCCGCTGTTGGTGATAATAAGAGCGGGTTTGGATCAATAAATAATCTGTTTATCGATATATGTGTGGTATGTGTTGTGTCATAGTAGATTTTTGTTGTCAGCACCTCAAAACTATCCGACACCAAATGGTGTTGGAGAATTCCGCTATTTCATATAGCAGTGTGCTCTGGACCCACACAAAACATCTTTCTGTCAAAATGTCTAAGGCTACATTCGCGTATCCCGGATGATACAATACGTGTGGCGCAGAAATATTCCGTATAAACGTATCTTAAAAATTACATGGGACTTGACATTGTTTTAGAAAGAAATAATGCAAACTGCCAATAGTCAGTATTTTAGTTTCGGTCAGGTACGTCTGGACCCCTCAATCTACATGAGTCGAATTTTCCTGAGATCAGCCTCGGTCCAGATCTGTGTCGTTTTCTTTACAGGTTCAATCAGTTCAACCGTATATGCGAATGTACCCTTGGTCTGGTGTCAGGGCCAGAGGAAACTGGGGCTAAATTAGCATATACATTATCACCCTTTTCTGTTATCCTCACTTAGTATTAACACACACACCAACCAACCCCACCCCACACTCACTAAACTTCCAAAAAAAGAAGATATCGTTCTGTGGAAAAACATGTCATATGATTACCATTTTTTGGCTGTAGTCAAAGGCTTAAATTTTCTATACTTGATCTTCCATTCAATCACATCTGTACAGCGTTGACAGGCCCCTGTGACTTGAACTTTCTTAATTAGCTCCATTTGTGGTGTACGGTCATGCAAATCATTTTTAAACGCATTTTTGTTTTTGTACTTCTGTGCTCCTTTCTTCACGTTTCCTCGTTGTGTACTCATTATTTAGACGATGAAGAACTACACAACAATCCAGCATGCAGCGTGTGTCTGTCAAAATATTACCGGAAATTGCGTACACGCACTATTCTTTCCGCAGAAAATAATTTTAAAAGTCAAAGCCGTAAAAACGCTTGCATCGGACACAATATTTTACATTGGTAAATTAATTGTTCAACAAATTATATTGAATTTGGTTGTTGAAAATTATTACTTGAATATTTAGCACGATCACTTACAATTCTACAATTATTTATTAACGTTCAAAGTTATGATAATATGATATTAATTCAATTTGTCACTTCCGGTTGATATGACAAAGTGACGTCACGCTGTATTATTAGAGGAAAGAAAGAACGGAAAGTGTATGTCAATATTGTGAGTTAAATCACCTCCACATGACAGCGTTTGGTATCTCAGAACTGTTGTGAATGGTAGCTTGATTTCTGCTACATCGTTTTGATTCTATTTCAGTTCGCTTTTCGTTTGACACCATGAACAGCCTGTCGTTCAGCGAGCTATGTTGCTTGTTTTGTTGTCCGCCATGTCCATCAAGAATAGCAGCAAAGTTGGCCTTCCTTCCTCCAGAGCCAACATATTCACTGATATCAGATGAAACGGGTTCAAAATATAGCCTCCACCTTACTGACAGGGCTGAATGGCAGTACACTCAGCGAGAACTAGACTGTATTGAAGTGTTTATGACAAGGACTTCAAGGGGAAACAGGATACCATGCATGTTTGCAAGGTGTTCCCCCAATGCTAAATACACTCTTCTCTTCAGTCACGGCAATGCAGTAGATTTGGGCCAAATGAGCAGCTTCTACATAGGACTAGGATCCAGAATCAACTGTAACATTTTCAGCTATGACTATTCAGGCTACGGTGCCAGCTCGGGGAAACCGTCGGAGAAAAATCTCTATGCAGACATTGATGCTGCATGGCAAGCTCTGCGAACAAGATATGGTATAAGTCCACAAAATGTAGTTTTGTATGGACAGAGTATCGGCACAGTGCCTACTGTAGATCTTGCGTCCAGATATGAAGTTGGTGCAGCTATTCTCCATTCTCCACTGATGTCCGGCATGAGAGTGGCATTCCCAGATACAAAGAGGACATGGTTCTTTGATGCTTTTCCTAGGTATGCACTTTAAATTAAGGTTGTAAAAATTGTATGCTTACTTTATATGCCCTTTATGTGCATGTGTAGCATAGGTAATGGTTTAGAAGTAGAATTTAATGCAGTTGTGGACACTCCGAGATCAAGACATGTTGAGATCAAGGTGGGGTCATCTCAATATTTCTAAGCCTCCAAATGTCCATAGCTTGACTAGAGTAGAATGAACGCTAGGCATCTATGATGTTCACTGGGCAATAAGTTGATGAAACATTATAAGTCCCCCATTGGCACTACAAGATGGGACTTTAGGTTAGCACTCTGTCCATCAGCTATAGGCTATGTGTCACTTTGTCTTCTGCATATATATCAGTGGCGGATCTAGAGGGTTTTAAGGGGCTTCAGGATACCCCCACCCTGAGAATTTTCTTGAAAAATCATGTACTTTCGCCATTTTCCTCAATTTTTCCCCACATGAAAACACACACGCACACCCTGGAAATTGGCCCCCCCCCCCAGGTAGGTCTCTGGATCCGCCAATGTTTAATATCTCATACACTTTTTCACCTACAATTGGGCTACCCTTAATTGTTTGTGCTTTCCCTAAAACCTTTTTGGCAATTTTTAAGGAAGTAATGTTAAATTTCGATAAGTCTCCAGTAAAAACTTTATATATATATAAAAGTTGAAAAGTAAACTTTGAACAAACATGGATTTTTCTATCTGGCCTTCCCAAATTTTGTAGTCAATAACCCCTTGATATTGCATACTTGAGAGTGTTGCATAGATTAAAACCAGGTCTTGTGNTTGTCCAGGGCATACTGTACCTTTCGTTAATATGTTGGAACCAATTTAATTACATCATTTTGTTCAAATATGTCTTCAAATTGGAATGAAGAAACTGTATAATCTAGTGGTTTGGAACACAGATATTCAAAGTCAGGTGTCGGATATGTTTAAAAAGTGGGGGAAAAACCTAATGTCAAAGGAAAAGCATAGTTAATACATGTAGTTGTACTTGTGTTTGATGTAAATTTAACCAAACCTAATTCACCCTCAAACCCAGTTAATTTGACTACTAACATGGAAGTATACTAGCCTGACATCATGACTGGTATATTTTGTCAATTATAATTATATTAACAGGCGTAATGAAACTTTTCAATATGTGCTTCAGTAGAAAAAAGACAGATAGTTGCAGGTTCCTTTTATTTGCCCCCTGTCACATTCATTTTTAAAGATGATACAGTTATATTATGGTCAGCAGATCTTGATAGGACACAATTCTCATTGTCTGTTTCGTCACCATATACACATTTATAATATATGTAACACTTACCTCTGGTATATAAAGTTTATTTCAGATTGCAAAATTACATAACATATCCAAACATTAAACTATATACTTCAACATTATGATTACTGATACCATTTTTTTGCCAAAGTAATTGCTGAAGTGTGTTTATTCTAATTCATTGTTCAAACTTAATGGTAGACCCATAGAAAATGCATGAAAAACACTAGACCGACATTGTATTCACATATATGGGAGTCATTTACTTCATAGACCAAGTTGCAGGGTTAGACACTAACTTTTTTGCTTGTTAAGTCCACACAGGACTAGTTGAATAGATTATTTACTAGTCCTTCATGAATGTAACTAGTCCAAGATTTCCTGATTAAAGAAACATTGAGATCTACAGCACGAAAAATCAGAAGTAATTGACTGTAGGGGACTTCAAATAACTACGTACTCCTATAAAATATGGTGAAGTTTTAGGAAAAGGTTGACAATTATCTTGCAATATATCTTATTTTAAGCAGTTTTCAAAATTTTAAAAAGGAATATTCTTATTTTATAATCATATCTTTTACAAGTCCAAAGGACCAGTTATAGGTAAGGTGATTTTCTAGTCCAGGACTAATGGGCTAGTCTAAGTGTCAACCCCTGAGTTGTCTGAAGTTAATTCCTATGATGAGTTAATCCAAAGATATTTATAGACTTAGTGAATGAAAAGTCCCCTGTGAAATTGCTTACATTGATGTCATCCTTTCTTGTTACACAGTAGGTCTGTAGGAAAGCTATATCTCATATATAGACCTATTGTCTATGGTGTGTAAATCCTAAATTCTAACTTTACCCGTTCACCACTGTAGACCATAATGGACTCATCCAGATCAATGCATGGTATAGTCTAGAGTTACATAGGGGTGAAAGACTGCTGATTATAATCAATAATCCTTCATGAAAGGTCTTCCAATAATCAATTTTGAATTCTCTTCCAATTCTAGACCCATTATTGTGATGTCATACATGTAGTTAAGGTTACTGTCAAGTGTCAATGGCATTGTGTGATGTATTTCTGTGGATATATTAGCTAGGAACATATACTGTATTTGACCAAAATTAAGCACACCTTTCACAAAACAGCCCCTCTCCACTTTGGTATAAATTAAACGTCCCAGGAATTGTTTGGGTGCTCACAATAAATCTATGTCAGCTTATAAGCCCCTCCACTTAACAACATGAAAGAGTATGGGCACACAGAATTTCAACAGTTTTCTATAAAAGTTGTCAAAGAGCAGCTGGTCAATATCCTAGATGACAGATGTCAAGATGAATGTTTGTTCATTCATTCATTCCAACATATTTTATTGACATTAAATTATAAACAGGCAAAGGGATCGGGCACAACTTCTTACAACTTACTAGGCCCTCTCCCATATGTTTGTTGATAAGAGGCCAGGATGCTCATATTTAAGCAATTTCCCATCTTTTTGTCAAACTTTATTGACTAGGGGAGGGGGGTTCTTTAAAGTCAAATAAAGTACCAGGGTATGCAGGTTTATCATGAAAAACAATATAAAGCAGGGTTTGAATCGAAGAAGAAAGTTAATAATAACTATATGGAATATCTGCCAGTATCAAATTTAACTGCCATTGCATTGTTCATTAACACTGTTATAGCACGCATGTGTAGGTAACTTTGATCACTGGTTCAGACTCAGTATTTTGTCCATATATCATTTCAATTTCATTATTTTAAATTGAATACAAGTGCTGTTTTCCTTTTGATCTTAAGTATAATACATGTATATGTCTATATGGGTCGAAGAAGTTATATTAATGCTAGCTTCCCGAATAACACTGGATCCTTAAAAACGTGTGTTTGTAGCTAATAGGATACAAATTACTTAGAATTGTATATGAGGCAAGGAAGTAATTCTTACTTTGTAGACAATATGATGTTTGGCAAATTTTCGGAGCAATCCACTCCTTTATCGAGACACAGAAAAAAACACAAAACAATTACATTACAATATTATATCTATATATATATATATATATTATAAAAAGAAAAATTCTTAACACAGCAAATATATATATAGCATGTAAAAACCATTATGAGATGTGAAAAATAAACTGCACATTCTTTTTATGAAAGTCATCAATTAATTATAAAACACAGTACAGTACAATAGAACATGTGTATAATTATTCAACTTCAACAGCCCTTAGAGGGATGTACACTACAGGTGTATAGTGCTATCTCGGACATCTGCTTATTTTGCTTTTATTTTATTTTTAAATAAGTACTAGTACACATTTTCTACAAAATAAAAAACAGCACTTGATAATCATATCTTGGGGAAAATATTCAAAAAGCACACCAGGTCTGAAAACTGGAGTAAAAAAATAATGATTGTGTGAATATGAAAGAAACAGTTATTGTTTGACTGATATGTGTTGCTAAATGTGTAGTCTAAAAATGTTTGAAATCATCACTGATACAAATTATTGAATAGCTTTAATTATGAATCTAAGGATATATTAAACTAGAAATAAACCACTCATGGTACATAAGTATTGAAAAAAAAGTAAAATTTAAAAAAAATATCAATACATCATGTAGCACATTTTGAAGAATAAAGTATAGATCAATCTTATAAAGTTAACTTGTGCCATGGTTCATTGTTGCATGAAAAAAATAGTCTGACATCTGGAGTATCTCGGTCTTGGGTCATTCTGATGCATGGCATGGCATATATATACATATGTATACATGACCTATGATTTTAACAGTTAACCCATTGCCCTTGATTCTCAGACTTGTCAGTTTAGTGATTTCAAGGCTATATTACACCTGCCATTAATTCAGACCTGCATAATTAATGTAGATATGATGTTAAAATATGCATTTTATATATACTTCCTCCAACTTAATGGTTACATTGTATATGAAACAACTTTTTCACTGTTGCTCTTCAGTATTATTCTAGGTTTACCCATTATGCATATTAATGTATAAAATTATGTATTCAGACTTGCCTGTCATTGTTCTAATGTTGATTAAGTTTCGTTGATATACTTATGAATATGTTACTCAAGACATACCTGAATATAGTAATTTATTATGTAGATTCATTAGTTGTAGTTAAAAGTTATAAACACACTTAACTTGTACATGTGTGTGACTCAGCTCTCAGAAGAAGATTTAGATGAAGGCTTCTTAGTTAAGAGCCAAAGATGCCAATAAACTAATTCACCCCTGAAATTTCATAATGAACTATTCCAACCTTTGAATTGGAAGAGTTCAAATGTGTCTTCAGGGGTGAATGAGTTATAGGTACACATGTTTTTTCTTCAGATGTAGCATGAAGTATTATGCAGTATGAATTGTGAAGTTATCAATAATGGCTTTCAATTTTGATGAAATTTATACGAGAAAATGTCCACAGTAATAAAAAAATGTTTTCACTTTTCCAATATGTTTTTTTGCTTTCAGTATTGACAAAGTACCAAAGATAACGTCTCCAGTTCTAGTTATACACGGAACAGAAGATGAAGTAATAGACTTTTCTCACGGACTAGCCATACACGAGCGATGCCCCAGGGCAGTGGAACCACTTTGGGTTGAAGGTGCGGGGCACAACGATGTGGAACTCTACGGACAATATTTAGACCGACTTAAACAATTCATAAATGTTGAATTGGCGGTCAATTGACCCACGGAGAACATAATGCAGCCAGTTCAGGAAGAGTTGATATAATCATCAGTTCCTGATGTCACATGGATCTGTGTTGTTGAATGTCTGTAAGCTCTGGTACATGGACAACAATGGAAATATAGCATAACCAGCCATATCAAGAATTAATTATACAAATTGGTCTGTTGTCATTCTTGTAACATTAAAACTGTTTTGTTCCTACAATGTATGACATCTAAATGTATTTCCACATATTCATAAAACCTCAAGTGTGTATTTTTTTTTATACCGGTACCATGTTTTTTTCTTGTTTAAGATTTCTTAGTGTTCATTTACGTACGTAGGTTCCCATTGAGTGATTCTGTACGTGAGCATGGCTGGAAGATTGCTAACTTAGTAGTCTAATTTCTGTACCAGTATCTGAACATATAGACTAGACCATATTTTTTGACAAACTTCATTCACCTAGTATATACATGAGCATGCCTGGAAGTAGCAAAGGTTCTGTATTATACAATTTTGACAAATTGACAAGCTGATTTTTGTTTAATGTTTATATGATACCCGGTACCACGGACTTGGATAGCAATCAAATCTTATTCCGTGCCGGTACTGGGAACATAATATATTACCCATCTTCATTCAGTTATTAAATTTATATTTTCACATCTTGGAGCGTACCATAATCAAATCAGTTTTCAATTATTTTATTATAAAACTTTGCAATTATTTCATAAGGAATTTGTTTTATTTTTGAAGAAGAAAAAAGACAGATGAAAATCCCTGAAAAAACAATAACCCTAGTACATGTAGGAAGAAGGCAAAGAAATCAACAGAAATGTTACTGTGATGTTAATTCAATTTGTTGAAGGTTTTCATAATTTCTACTCGATTGCTAGCAGATGATTTCAGTCTATACTGCATCCCTACAGTACAGCAACATCACCTAATAGAATTTGATTGTACTTTTTTTTTTCAAACCAGCAAGAACATGTCATGTTTCAGGTTGTTGACTTTTTAAATGTGGTTGTTTGCATTGACAATTGTCTATTTATAAAAGGGAATATAACGACCTCATTATGCTGTTTTGATGGAGGGAATATATGTAAATTGACATTAAACCCTTGTTTAATAAATTATTCAGCTTAATTTTATGAATGAATGACTGTTACAATTACAGTGGTGTCATATTTTCGTAACCGGTAATTGTCGACATCAATATTAAAGCAGCTCTCTTTGTTAAACTTAACTTCGTACATTTGCCAATGTAATGTATCATTTGGACAAGAAAACATGGACTGTGAAAATCTTGATTTCCCACGATTTGTGTAAATGTGTCATTCTCTCATGTATATTCTCATGAACCACGAGTATGATTCATGGCTTGGCCTAGAATTAGGTCATTACGTGGGAGAGAAGTATTACAGACGGTATATGTGTACATTGTACAAATACGATAAATTAATAGTGGAGTGGATTTGTGATAAATATCAATGTTTATACAATTTCATTTTGACATCATCCTTGGAATATTTAGCTGTGTAACAATCATCAGATTATATTACAATGTACATTTATGCTTCAAATGTGATATTGCTTGTTTTTGTTATAAAAAATTTGTAAACTTTTGGCTAGGATGTTTGATCAGTTACAACTTTGACATGAATGTTTTATGCATGTGACGTATATATATGTAAATTTAATATCGTCGAGAAGTCGTAAAACATCGGCTTATCAAAGATTTTCGTGAATATACAATTAAACTGTACTATATACATTGTATATATTTAATGTTCAATTAAGATTGGGAAATAGTTCAAAGAGGAAAGATTTTTAATGGCTAAAAATTAAACGACAAGATTTTTATTTGTGTCATTCAAGTGTTGTAAAATGATTCATATGCTGAGATAGCCACTAAAACTCATCATCCCTGTTCAACGTGGTATGGCACACATCCCAATCCCATACACACCGGTACCAACGGGCTGCAGCCTGTGCCATGCCCAGGCATCCCTGATCTGTTGTTTTAGGTTCCCAGGTCATTGGTTGAATTATGGACCGCTTTTGTCTTTTCAAACTTCAGGAAATTGGTATAGAAGGTTTTGTGAATAATAGCAGTAAGTTTACTTCAGATAGAGTTCAGCACATTGGGGGGGGGGGGGGGGGGGGGGGGTCATTCTCTTGCAAGGTATAGAGAAACCTCTATCAAGTTAAAAACATGTTTTGCACCATATGATCTTAATATTTCATCACTTAAGTAGTACCTGTTTAGTGTTTCCTGATTTTGATTGGACAACCAACCGAAAAGAGGTAAATTAAAAAGCATTTAACTCCTTCACCACTGAAATTTCATAATGAACTATTCCAACCTTTGAATTGGAAGAGTTCAAATGTGTCTTCAGGGGTGAATGATTTCAACCAAAATGGGGGGGGGGAATGTTTTCAGAACTTAGTATTAAATACATGTCAAACAAGTCTCTAAATTTAATTTTTATCAGAAGAAATTATAAACTTTCATTGAATAGTATGGAAACTATTTTGTGATTCTAATTGTTCTCTAAACCAGGAATTAGGATAATGAATTCGAAAAAGTAACATATAGTGTGTAAAGAGACATGTAGATCATGTTTCATAATGCGTTGTCTCGATTATGAATGAAAATGTTGGCATGTAGCATGTATACTGAAGAGTGCATGTCTTGAAGACATTTACAGTTCAGAAGGTTTTATACAGAGACACTCTTGACAACTGATGCTTGTTCAAGATTTATATCTAATAGAGGGAGTTCATTGTCAAGTTAACTGAATCTTATCTAGATAATCTAATCTTTAGTGAGTAGATTATATTCTAGGATAAACTCACATGACTAGATATACATTATTATCCATTATCATAACAAGGATACATAAACCATATATCAAAGAAAAAATATTTTCTCTTTACCGAAACTAGAGTTTTCTCCGATAAGGGGAAAATTTGGTGTAAGATATGATGTTAGAATGCTCCTGTGTGGTATTGTAAGCAACCGATGTGATGTTATAAATCAACACTAAAAAATTGAGCCAGAAGTGATGAACATACAGGAACAGTTACAAGATAAATAGGTGTAATTCCACATTGATGCCTATACCAGCAGCAGCAGCTGATCTTTAAATTAGTTCATCATCCTAGTGCTTTGAGTATCAGTGCAATAGTATTTACATATACACGTTGTTAACCAAGTTTTAAAAGATGATGTACATCAACTAGGAAACTATAGCTCGTTTTGAATATTTTAGGAAATATTTATATACATATAAGTAAGTTTAGTACATGGAAAGAGATTCATGTTTATGTACACATTATTAATCTATGAAGCGGTATGTTAACACTGATCTATATCAAGGCCTGATTAGCTTTATACTTATGTAGAAAGTGTACAAATTCATTTGAAACATTTTCAAAAATGATATGTGTATAAATATGTGAAGGGAGGGAATATTTACATTATGTTTAAAGTATGTAGTTTCAGACAGCTGGATCTTGTTTGGATTCTCCCACGACCAGGTTTGTGTGTGTTAACAGTCGATAGTTTGGTATACTAAGTATAGCTACAGGGCTTTCTTATATGAACTATTCCAATATCGTACATAATTCGACCAAAATGTATATGTAATTCATTCGACCGCAAGAAACTTGTTGACTCAAAATTGTTTTGGTTGCTCCGTCCACTTATTTAAAAGTGTAAGCTTATGTTACTTTATAGACCAATGGTTTTTTCCTCATTTTAATTAATTATTTTTTGTACACATATTTGTAATGATTCTACCACAGGTAAAACCAACCAGTGTATTTTTTAGTTTTTTTTTTGTTTTTTGTTTTGATAATCAGGATAAATGAAAAGTTCACACAAAGAATGCCTGTCAGTGCTTACATATTGCTCAATCAGTGATTGTAGTGTCTAGTAAGTGTAATTACCTGTATATATATATATATATATATATATATATCGCTACAACAGAAACGGATACATAGACACTTTGGTGTATCTGTGGTGATTGATAGTTCAATGTACAGTTCAACAAAGTGAAATTTATAAGATCAACCACTATTATATTTCTATTCATTGTAAGTAAGCATTTAAAAATGTTTTTTCGCATTAATGTATTTCCAAAAACAAAGGGACAGTGTGGATGCAGATTTGTAAATTAAGTCATTGGTTTGTCTTGCAGATATTCATCTGAATTTTAAAGGTCACATTGATGTAGTGAAATCGTTACAGGCAGTTGTTTTATTACTGGTTAAAGGGTGGATCATGACGAATCTCATTTTTGTACGTTTGTATTAGGGCAGCCATAGTGCGTGAAGTGTAATCAAAAGTTTTTCAGTAATTCAGGAGATTTTTTTTATTAATTTTGGCACCCTCCCATAGTTTGCAAAACTTTGTAAGAGTTACTTCCCTTGCTTCATGTTTTCTGACCTTAAAAACTGTTGGGTTGCAAGATATGTTAATGTTACCAGACTGAACTCCATCAGATATGCCTTGCATGTTGTGGTTCTTTTTGTCACATTGCTTTCATCTTGCTTATAGAAAATTAACAAGGAAGTGAAATTATGAGCTAGTTTTCTGTTCAGACCTGTTGATAAACAAAGCTTTAAATATACTTGCATTACCACATCTTACGACAAAAATCTTTGTTTGTGTACACCCACTACCACTCTTCACAAATGTATAAAATCATACCAGTTTATGAAATGATCTTTGCATTTGCCTTTTGAATTGTTTTTTTTTACATCCATATTAGTTCATTGTATACACTGAAGGTACTTGTGTGACTTCAGTTGTACTTTGTAGAATGCATGGTTCAAATCTTCACCATAATGTGTTTCAAGCTTTGCACAGTGGTAGTTACATTACATAGATACTGCTGCTAGCGTAAGATGTCATACCAGAAACAAGGCTGTGGTTATACCTGCTGTTTGTGTGTAGGCACTAGGGAGACATGATGTGCATCACACCAACCAGTGTCTCATATACAACACACATTCTCCTTGTTTAAAGGTATACATTGTTACTTTGTGTTTATTTTTAATTTTGGTGTGTACCTGTATTGTTTTTGTTTAGATTAAAACTTTAGAATTTAAGATTGATACTATCTGCATCTTTGTTCATAATTTGTTTTCATTGTTAGAATGATGTAGAAGTATTTGAAAGTGTACAAGACACAAAACACAGGGGCTGTAAACTGCTGTGTGGATTTGGTGGAAAGACATGCATGCTTGTAGTGTTCATGTTCACACAGTTGGCAGGGGCTGTAAACTGCTGTGTGGATTTGGTGGAAAGACATGCATGCTTGTAGTGTTTATGTTCACACAGTTGGCAGGGGCTGTGAACTGCTGTGTGGATTTGGTGGAAAGACATGCATGCTTGTAGTGTTTATGTTCACACAGTTGGCAGGGGCTGTGAACTGCTGTGTGGGTTTGGTTGAAGGGAACACATGCTTCTGGTGTTTCTGTTCATGCAATATGCAGTATCTTTACACAACACACAGTGTCTGAACTGACACATCGATATGTTGAAAACATACTTTTGTAGTGTTCCTTTTTCAAAGTACACACTGCTGTGTGGAATTGGTTGAAGTACATATATGTAGTTTTCCTTTTCACACGGTATGCAGTGGCCATGAACTGCTATTTGAATTTTGGTGGAGGAGCATTTGTTTGTAGTGTTTCTGTGCACATCCCTAGTCATTTATACAGCATAGTTGTATAGTTGTAGTGGAAAGATACATCAGCCCGTAACAGGATTAGAGTTTAATACTTGAGAAGTTATCTGCAGTATTTGTTTTCTTTATTGCCCAATAATGCTCCATAATCTACTGACCTCAAGTGGATCATAAGATTTGGAAGGTGATGCACCTATTTCAGGTGCAAATAGCGTCAATTTCATTTGTAACATTTGAACCCTTGATAGCTACATGTGTATCTTACATTGGCTTACAGTTGTGTGTTGAAAAAGTTGTGTCACATGTGTATCTAGTGATTTTTGAGCTATATAATGTATATAACAGCAGCCTTGCTATTAGGCCATCACATGCTTTGTCACTTGTTTAATGTTCACTGCCCATATCCCATATTATTTCAACATGTTTCTCACTCAATTGTTTGCTACAAAGGGAGATAACCTTTTTCATTACTCTTTGATTGCCTCACCATCATCACCTGCATAGATATAGATATATATACTGCTTACTCTGGCCTTTTGTTAACCATGCATCTGTCTCCAGGTCTGGCATTTGTTTTTGCCCACATGACTGCTAGCTGTCCTCACAATTCCAGGCTTTATACACTTTTATCAGTAATCTTTATTATTTTATGACTTGTATATATATAGCTGTGCTAAAATTTCCTTGATTTTGGATTTCATCGGAAAATATGTGATAAAATTTCATTTCTCTGCAATTTTTCGCAAAAAAGGTGATAAACAAAGATCACATTTCTGCAATATTCATAAGATATACTCGGAGACTGATCTTTCTCAAAACATTTACCTTCTAGCTGTTGAACAATACATCTCTATAGCCTGTGGAAGACAATTCCTGATTGGCTGGACCCAGTTGTTGTAATTTGAGACCAGGTACAACTTGTTATATTTCTAGTTGTGCTACCGTAGAAAGAGTGTGTGCTGGTATAATGTTTGTCTGTGTTCACTTTGTAAATAAACAAGATGTAATTATGTACAGGTGTATACCAGGGATTATTGTGAGGAGACCTCTACACATGTGGGTTTGTGTGTATTGAGTTGGTGTGTTTATACCTGATAGAACATGTGTAGCACCTTATTTGGTAACCACGAACCGACGCATCGTTATAAACCCTACTTATCATTTCGGTACATGTGTACCTCTCCTTCACCATGTGATGTGTTAAGTGCCTAAGTACTAGGCTCACTGTTACAATCTGTTCACCATGTCATTCAATTGTTCTATTTAACACAGTTTTGGTGAAATGAGGGGGAAAGTAAAAAAGATCTTGTTGGTTCAGCTCTGGATTTGCTCAAATATTTCACATGGACAACGGTTTGTATAAGATTTCCTCACCTGGAGAAGTGGGAATAACATTTTTTTAAACGATAATGTTTTCCTGTCAGGAATGCACCTTAATTAAAGACAG